TTGTTCGACGTTAGGTTACAGTTACATTACATGAGAAGTAAACTTTGTTTATAATACATAATACAAATAAGATACACAGGTCATTTTCCATTTTTAAGTTGTTATTTTTTATAAAAGAAATCACATACATGTATATTTATAGGGAAAATGACAGATAAAGAAGGTGGAATATTTGAAATTCCAATTTGGAAAAGCTAAGGAAATGTAATGAGAATGAGTGAAGTCCTTCCCAAATTAGAATTTTGAAATTCAGTGAAATAACAAAAATGCCCTTTATCTTTTTTTTAAAAAAAAAACTTAGCCCCTCACCTGCAGCCAGTAGAAATTTTTTTGTAACAGTTTTTGTTTTTGTGGAAGAATATTGCAAGAAGTGGTAAGGGTGGGATTTGATCCCACAATCCCTTGGTCATTTGGGCCAACAAAAAGGTAGATAACCATTAGGCCATCAAAAACTTCTTATACTTATAATGCAAATAAAAATATAAGTTGACTCTTTTACTGTGACTCCAACCCGTAACAATAATTTATCTCAGGATGACAAGTTTTAATTGAGAAATAACAAGTCTAAATTTGATATTAACAAATCAATTATCCTGATACATAATAAGAAGTAGCATGTATATTAATTAAAAATGACAATTTATTTAAAAATAACACATCTTTATTGGAAAATGACACGTCTAAACGTGAGATTAACAATATGCCTTTTTCTAATACATAGCAAGAAGCAGCATGTACATTAATTAAAAATGATCATAATTTATTTGAAAATGACACGTCTTTACTGAAAAATGACAAGTCTAAACTTGAGATTAACAATGTGTCTTCTCCTGATACATAATAAGAAGTAGCATTAACAATATGTCTTCTCCTGATACATAACAAGACGTGTCATTTTCAAATAAATTATGGTCATTTTTAATTAATGTATATGCTACTTCTTGTTATATATATCAGAAAAAGGCATATTGTTAATCTCACGTTTAGACGTGTCATTTTCCAGTAAAGACGTGTCATTTTCAAATAAATTGTCATTTTTAATTAATGTACATGCTACTTCTTGTTATATATCAGGAAAAGTTGCTTTGTTAATATCAAATTTAGACTTGTCATCCTGAGGTAAATTATTGTCATTGGCTGGAGTTACAGTAAAAGAGTCAACTTATATTTTTGTTTGTATTATAAAGTTAAGAAGTCTTTGATGGCCCAATGGTTATCTACCTTTTTGTTGGCCCAAAATATTCTCCCACACAAAAAAAAACTGTTACAAAAAAATTTTCACCGACAACCACAACATCGGTAGCCGGCCGCCGATGAGGGGTTGATTTTTTTTAAAAAAAAGATAAAGGGTATTTTTGTCATTTCATTGAATTTCAAAATTCCAATTTGGGAAGAACTTCCCTCATTGTCATTACATTTCCTTAGCTTCCAAAATTGGAATTTCAGATATTCCACCTTCTTTATTTGTCATTTTCCCATATTTATATCATTTACTTAAGTCTATCAGATTTAATTCTCCAATTAAATTTTGACATGTTTGATTTTTTTATCTCATTAATATTTGACAAAAAATTTAAAATTTTATTCATGTGAATTTTTATTATTAAAAAACATATTTATTTTTCCAAAAAACTACATTTATATAAATTTTGACATATTTGTTAATTTTACTTGAACTACGTTTGTTTTTTTTTTTTACCAGAATTGAACTACGTTTGTTGAAAATCATATTTTTATCGTGTGGTTTAGATACATATGGCAGCTTTGAGGATTACTATTGTTTTTTTTTTTTTTTTTGGGGGAGCCGGCCGCCATCTAGGCATCTAGCTGCATTTCATGTCTATTATATGAAATCAGGCAACTCTCACAATAGTATTGATGTACCGCGCCAATGTTTTATTACTAAAGCTTGCTTAATTAGAAGGAGAGTTTGTTTGGATTCTACATTGCCTTTTGTTTTAATATAAACTAATTTTAGATAAAATGAGCCTTAAAACTTAAAATATTTGATTTCTATGCTCCTTTTTTGATATGAAATCCTTATCTTTATAATTTATGTCATTCTTATAATTTGTATAATTCCTTTCTCTATCCCATTTTTCATTGTTCTCTAATTCTTTTGTTCTCTTATTTGTATGGAATATCTAATATCCTACATCTATCTCACTCTAATTGGAGGATTTTTGAGGTTTAGAACAGTCTAAATTTAGTTGGGCAAACCATAGAGGATATCAAAATTCTGCTACTAATTTAACGTTGTTGTATCTCTAAGACTTCAACTCAAAATTTCTAATTAACCTGATACTGTAGGGGTGTTCACAGGACAGGACAAGCCCGTCCCGTCCTGGTCCCATCTTGATGAATAATGACGAGACAGGATTTTTGTCCTGTGTCCTGTCTCGTCCTATTTTTTTTTTTTCAAATTCAGTTTTGAGTCTAACAATTCAGTTTTTTTGGGCCTAAAGTCAAAAAATGATTAAAATTTCTCCTTGTTTCTTTTTTTTTGGGCCTAGGTCACTATGGTAGCCCAAAAAAAAGGAGAATTTGGGCCTTTGAAATTAGTGGACAAGTTAAAATAATTTGTAACAAATGCAATTTAGGGCTTTTTTTAATTATTTTTTTATATTTGCAAAAAAAAAATAATTATTACATATCCCAGGACAGGATAGGGACAAGATAACCTTGTCCTGCGTCCCGTCCCGTCCTATTCAGCATCTTGTCCCTTCTTGAAATTTTTTTTTCTTGTCCCGTCTCGTCTTAAGATAATCAAGATTGGGACGGACCTATTGGGACAGGATAAATTGAACACTTCTAGCTGATATTATCTTTGGTCTTAATTATAAGGTCCCATTTGTATACTATTAACCAGGTCTTATAAACATTTAAACTACATGCCGGGTGGTTCTTATTCTAATCCCTTGTTTGAGCTCACTCTTATTGTCAATGAGTACCTATTTTGTTTCTCCCCAACCCATATAAACATTGAATTTGAATCTCCAAGCAAATTATAAAAGTCTTTTCAAGGGAAAAATAAATAAATAATTACTCCCTCTAATTCCAAATATAGAAATTAAATAGTTAATTTATCAAGTTTAAGAAAATCAATTACACCGTGACCCACACACTTTTGCTCTTGTTATTTTCTCTTTTCTTCAAAGTCATTTTATATGCTCCATTGACGTGATCCAAATTAGTGAGATGATCCTAACTTTACTTTTTTTTTTTGTCATACTAGCTTCACATAATTTTAAATTAAATAAAGAGATAATATCATTGTTAGTCCTTATGCTTTGTCTTCATGTTAGTTTTACTCTTTAAAGTTTGATGTCAGTGTTTTTGATCCCTCAAATTTACTCTGTTTATAACCGTTAGTCCTTATAGTTTGAAAAAGACTTGGAACTAATACTAACAGTGTTAAGTTCGCTTATGTATCACTAACACTGTTTAAATTATTGATGTTGACTATTGACCAGGCAAGCTCATTTGCTGACCTAGATATGTGAATGAAAAAGAAAATAAAGCAAAGCCAAAACGCCTTAATGTTGTTGTCATCTTCAGGTGTGTTTGGATTGGTGTTGGGTAAAACTGATTTCTAGTCTAACTGAATTTTTTAATTGAAGTCAAAGTAAAAATCAGTTAGTGTAATGTGATTTATATTTGGATAGGTGTTTATAAAAATTCAGTTGGAAAAGTTAAAAGTTATTTGGATGATTAAATAGAAAAGTAAGTTCAGTTATAAAAATCTATCAGACAGCGTGAAACTGCAGTTTGAGATAGAAAAGTCATATTTTTCTCCGTTGAGTCTAACTGAGATTGAAGGCCAGAAGTTGGTTGGGCTTTTAGCCCCATTCAAACAACCATTGGGTCCTATCTAAGTCACAAATTACAGATTCACGCTTTCTCATGGATTTTTTTCATTCCAAACAGTAATCCAAACATTGGGGACGGCGCCATCTTCTTCAGTTTCTCTGTTATCACCGATTTCGTCGAGCTCCTCTGGCTCCCCAAGAAGATGATGTTCTCCCTTGCTCACTGAAGAAGATGACATCGTGTTTAAGCTCTGATGAAGATAATTCCACGGCGTCTCTCTTCTGTCTTCTCTCTCTAAACAAGTCGACGGTGCACACTTTAGGAGGAAGATGATGAACAGTGGGCTCTATCATGGGCGTATTCAAGATCTATATTGCTTCCTCCAAGTATTTCTCTATTTTCTTGTTGCTTCCTTTTATAATTTTTGTTGGTATTAACTTGGGTTTCCGTGACATCAAACTGCGTTTCTTCCTTTCTTCTTCTTCTGGATTACATCAAACTATGTTTCTGGGTAATATATGTTGTGTGGGCCATTTGTCGCAGAAGTTCTGCATCAAAGGTTTTATGATGAACACATCAACTCGAGCTGGTGCCTTCATTTACTCTTACTATGTGTAGGTTTGTGCATCTGTTTTGGGGCTCTTATAGCAATATGCAGTTTCTAATTCAAAATCAACAAATTCTCCAATTGTGTTAAAGCTAGCAATGACTCCACTGTTCTTCTGCTTCAACCTTCATCATCCAGAACCATGGCGGCGTGTAGAGAGGCGAACAGCCACCGTCTTCTTCAGGCCAGCTACCACGGTGTTTTGGCTTTAATTTTTTTTAATTAAAAAAATCACATATCCAGGTCAACAAAGAGCTTGCCCAGTCAACAGTCAACATCATCAATTCAAAGGGTGTTAGTGACACATAAGCAAACTTAACATTGTTAATACCAGCTCCAAGTCCCTTTCAAACTATAAGAACTAACGGTTATAAATGGAGTAAACATGAGGGATCAAAAACACTGCTTTCAAATGTTAGGGGCTAAAACCAAAATAAAGGCAAAAGGTAAGGACAACCAATGATATTAACCCTTAAATAAAAGTATTAGATCTAACGGGCCCTTAGTACTAGTTGCCGTATGCATGGGTCTTGGGCCCAAAAATAGAGTTCAATTCGTGACCCAAAAAAAAAACTGGACTCACGAACCTTACAAAAACCCGGCACATCCTTCTCACACATTAGCTTCATTAGCCGCTCCCAAACCCTAGTCTCTCCGCCTGACTGACTCCACGCTTGAACAGACTCGGTGAGTAGGCTCCGGTTTACTCTTTCCAGCTTCCATGATTTATTGACGGTCCTCTCTTTGCCCAAATCTACCATCTAGATGTGGCATTTATGTATTCACGTCAATTAACTGCATTACATTGTTACATTGTTAATTTGAGATTTCACTCCTGAAGGAGACGGAATGTTTTTGGTGAACAAGTTTTTTCCCCCATTTTACTTAGCTTGGATGAATAAATCTCCATTGATAACTTTTGTTTTGTTTGTGTTATGTGTATTTTTTTTGTTATATGTATTATTTTGCTCCGCTTTCTGCAAATTCAGGGGAAAGTGAGATGGTTCTTCAAGTTGTTAAGAGTGGTGGACCGGTGTAGCCATTTTTCTTTTTGTTTTTGTCGGTTCTAAAACAAATCATTGATTTGCGCCTCGTTTAGATCATTGAAGTTTTCTGAATAAAGCTTTGTGCGTGTCTGATAGTGTTTACTTTGTTTTCCCATATGGTTTAATGTTTCAGCCTGAATTGCCCTCATATTATTTCATTGTATTCAAACTTTGTACATTCATTTTCCTTCGTAGATGGGTGAGGAGGTTAAGTCTATCGTTCCAGAGTCTGTCTTGAAGAAGCAGAAGAGGGAAGAGGAATGGGCACTGGCCAAAATACAGGAGCTTGAAGCTACTAAGAAGAAGAGAGCAGAGAGCCGCAAGTTGATTTTCAACAGAGCTAAGCTGTACGCGAAGGAGTATGAGGAACAAGTAAATATCACTAGTCATTTATTCTTGGTCGATGGTCCTAATTTATGGTGGCGCCTGATTTCCCCCTTACTTTTATCTTAAATTTGGTTTAGGAGAAGGAACTAATTAGATTGAAACGTGAGGCAAAGCTTAAAGGTGGATTTTATGTTGATCCAGAAGCTAAACTTCTGTTTATTATTCGCATCCGTGGGTATGTGTTTCGTTTACTTGTAATGGATCTCAAGTTCCTATGTGTACTGATTCTTACGCACAGAAACTATGATTTTTCAGTATCAATGCCATGCATCCACAGACTAGGAAGATCTTGCAGCTCTTGCGTTTGAGACAGGTACCATGATAACCTTAGAATGAGAAATTGATTTTTCCGTTATTCAATTTTAAATTTTCATGTCAGCACAAATTTTATTGGGAGCTTGGTTTGAACATGTAAATATACTCGTAACGGAAAGTGGTTGGCTGTCTGTATGATTGATCAATAGGGCATGTTTTGGTTGTATGGTTCTGCATTTAGTTAAACATCTAGATTTCAAAATTTATTCATCTGAGGAAATCCTTAATTAAGCTATTGAAGACAGTAGTTGAATCTTGAAATATTGTATTCTGGTGGTACTAAGATTATAATGTCACATCCAAGGGGGATTTTTTCTTACATAGTTTTAGAGATAGTGTAGGCAAATCTGTCTATTCCTCTATACTTTATAAAGTCAACGTAATCATCCTTATTGGCCTCCTGGAACAGATCTTCAATGGTGTATTCCTTAAAGTCAACAAAGCCACAATGAACATGCTGCACAGAGTCGAACCATATGTGACTTATGGGTATGGAAGTCTCCTGTGATTGAAGTCTTGCTTATGATGTTCATATTCTTTAAAAGTAAAACCCGTCTTGTTTCAGATACCCAAATCTCAAGAGTGTCAGAGAACTTATTTACAAGAGGGGTTATGGTAAGGTCGACAAGCAGAGAGTTGCTTTAACTGACAACTCCATCGTTGAGCAGGTTTGTTAGTTTTCTTTGCTGTGAGCGAGGCTATAGTTTGAAATTAATGATTGCATGCTGCTAACTCGCTCTGATGAACACCCCTTAGGCTCTGGGCAAGCATGGAATCATCTGCGCTGAAGATCTTATCCATGAGATCATAACAGTTGGTCCGCACTTTAAGGAGGCCAACAACTTCCTTTGGCCATTTAAGCTCAAGGCACCTTTAGGCGGACTGAAGAAGAAGAGAAACCACTATGTTGAAGGAGGTGACGCTGGAAACAGAGAGAATTACATAAATGAGCTCATCAGGAGAATGAACTAGATTGTCAGTGTTTGGTTATGACGTTAGGACGAAGTTTAAGCGCCGATTTTCTTCTCTCAAGTTTTGAAAATGAGGATGATAAATGATATTCTTAGGTTCAATTTGATATTTGTTGTTCATTGCCATGTGAGAATTATCAAGTGCCTTACAAAATATTGTTATAATGAACATTTCTTTATGTCAAGTTTTATTTCTCAGCATCGGGTATTTTCATGGAGCTATTTGGTATTTATGAACAGTACAAGGAGACTAAGCTTTTGGAAGTTAATGTTCTTGTCTCGCTTCAAGGCGAGTTAAACAACAGTGAAAATCGTGAGATTGGTATCCATATTGGGTTCGGCAAATTATCTCTTCTGATTCTTCTTGATAGTACTTGTGATGTTTACTGCTACATTCTTCAATACTCCTCTTATGCTTAATATAGTATGAAATTGGAGAGTTAATGTTGGTTTATTTCATATAATCATTATTTTTTTTTAAAATTAATCCTATTGATTTTTTTTAATAATAATCAAGTAAAAGAAGAAGAAAGGGAATTAAAAAGATGTTTGGAATATTTTAGAAGAAAGTTATATTAACTAATTTAACTATTATTTTTATATAAAGGATAGGCCTACTTAGGTATTTACTAATTTTACTACAAAATGGATATATCATAAAATTGATTCATAAAATTGATTTTATATTAAGAACTAGGGGTGCATCTTTTTATATTTTTTCTTCCTATGATATCAACAACATACACTTTGAATCAAACGGTGCTAGTCTCTCAGCCATTAGTTATTTAGTTGCAGATAACCGATTGCATCTACGATAAAAGAAATGGTACAAAAGCTAATTAGTGTTTTTTATAATATGATATCATATTTATATTTATATGCATTAGCGTTATGAAAAGTGTTATGATTTCTCAAATATAAATTTTTGTGGTAAAAAAAAAAAAAAGTAAATGACAATGATTGATGCTTACGAGTTCCCTATTGCAAAAGCCCTAAAAATGTTAAAAGCTGAAAAGACGGTAGCACATTTATAAAAATAATAGATTTGAATAATTAGATAAAATTGTTGACAAAATTTTCCATTGCAAAAATTATTTTCTAAATGTGCGTAAGTGCCAATGCATTCGGCTTCTTGCACAAATTTTAGCTACATTCGAACGATTGTTTTTGTAATTGAAGGTTTTTCAACAATTTTCTTGATAATATTATCTCGTAAATTTAATATAAAAATTAATTAAAAGTCAAATTTGATCTTAAATATAAGATTTCAATTGATTTTGCTTCTCAAATTTAAAAGTCATTCTCAAAATTATCTTTTTTTTTCCTTGTCAAAATCAAAGTATTCCTGTTGTTGACACATATTAAGGGATTTTTATTCAATGATAGTCATGATTAAAAAGCAAGAAAAAACATCTGGTTGAATCGGTGAACCAGTCAATAGTTTGGTCTAATTCGAATGCTGAAGTGGCATCAAATTGGCAAACCAGGGGTGGGTTGATCATGAATCGGCTTGGACAATTATGTTGCTGTTAGTCCTATTTTTTCTTATTTAACATCTAATATCCTAGTTATTGTAGATTTGAATGAATTTTAATTATGACTTTAGATCAATGATTTTAATTATTGAAAAATTTTAAAGATCAAAATTCTCAATGTTGCTATACTTTATTATTATTATAATATTTTCTTATATTTTGTTATTAGTGATTAGTAATATTATTGTATTTAGTTATTTTCAATTAAATTATATTATTTTAATATGATCGATTTGATCCGAGTTGATTTCAATTTGACCCACTATTCAGTCTCATTTTTTTATTCTCGATTCAAAAAGTGCTTTACAAAAATCAACTCATGTTTATTATATATAACTAAATTTATTTTTTTAATATATTTAAATTAGTTAATTAACTCTTAAGTATACAAAGTAACAAGCTAATGGGATGACAATTACCAAAATGTTTTTCTCTATATAAAAAAAATGTGACAGGAAATGAACTAATTAGAAAAATTACTTCAAGGTCTCACTCAACACCCTTCCCTTAAAATCATCATTGTCTTACCAGTAAACTAGTTGAGTTGTCGATTTACTCTCTTTCTAAAGTACTCAATTTGGTGGGCGTTGAGTGAATTTCCCCTTGTAACCCAGTGAAAAAAAGAAGATAAAAATACTCCACTGGGAGGAGTTGCATATTCATATTTTGGTCGTCATTCCACACTTGGTCGAGCTCGCCGTCCGCCGTTGTCAGCCCTGCTTGGGTGTTCTCCGGCAAGTATTGAAGAAAGTACGAATCCTGGGGTTTTGTCTTCTCCCGAAATCCGGGGTCATTGATTTGTTACATCTGGCGTTGAATTTAGATTTGAATTTGCCACGTGTCATCTGTTTATTGTCAACCCCGCGTCGGACGCCGTCGCACCGTTTATTGCTCTGTTTTAAATTTGCGATGTTTAATTATTTGGAAGATCTTAAATTACAAAGGGTGTTATCATTTGCCATTCTTTAGTGGCTTGGAGGAGTTGCCTGAATCAACTGGCGAAGGCATCTTCGTTAAAGTGTCTAGAGCCAAAATTAATAGGGTATACTATCAACTATGCGTATTTCAAAGATTTCAGTGGGGGAAGATGCCCCCACTGCGTGTAAAGTGTAATACAGGTCCGCATATGGCGAAGGCTGACTAATGTGTTGTGAGAATAGGATAGACCGCAGGGCATCAGTTATATATTGCGTGGGAGAGACTCTAGCCTCTCAAAAGCTAGGGTATTGTCCGTAGGTTTGTTTTCTGCATTTTTCTTTATTTGCGACTGGTTTTGCTCTATTCCTTGAGGTTTAACCTTCGTTCATTCCTTGCTCTGCATTGAGGTTAAACTGAGCTTTTATATCATAAACAAATACAGCCTCGGTTCCGTCATGCGCAAAGTTTTAATGATGAATTATTCTGCCCAAACTGTTGTTTTGGGCGTGCTAAGTATTTGTTTTGCAAGTTATGTTTAGTGTTCAAAAATTCATGATGGCACTACTTTGGTTTTCAGTACTAATAATTCGGCATACAGTCGTCCTTATTCTTGGCATGGTGGGTTCCGCAAGGGAGGGAATCGGATTAGATATTCATCTATAGTTTTCATGCATAAAGCCATAAACTCGACTTATTGAATCTTTGATGATTGTTGAAATGTGAATCTTGACTGAATTTACTATTTCTCTGCTTTCAGAGTCTAGTAGAGAATTGGATAATATGGTGCACATAATTGTTGCAATATTATTGGTTAGGATTAGGCGTTGTGACGTGCCTAATATATTAGAGCTACAAATAGATCATTGAGTGCAGGGCATTTGCCTTTCAGCAAAACATAAATATCTGCAATACTAGTGGCCTCAGTATGTTGCAATACCTTCCCACATGTTTCTTATAAAAGAAGGAACATATGGGTTTAATGGCGTACTTATCTCTGATTAGGTCATTATTAATTTGTGGGTGCAGTTTACTTGAAAGATGGGGGAGCTGGTGACTGAAAAACATGTTCGATATATTTTAGCTGCTGAAAAGGTATGCTTCCCATTTATGCATTATAACTGAACAAAAGATGTAATCTTGAGTGGCTGGCTACTTTCAAAGGTGCTTTATGCTTAAGATTTTCATGTCTTTTGTGTTATTTATTTCTCCTCTATCCTTTTCCTGGGCTCTCAGAGGAAAGATGACTTTGAGTCTGTGGTAATGGAGCACCTGAGAATGAATGGGGTATATTGGGGACTGACTACACTTGATCTGCTGGGAAAGCTAGACACTGTGGATGTCAATGAGTTTGTTTCATGGGTCATGAGTTGTCAACATGAATCAGGTTAATTAAAACTTCATTTGATTTCTTACTTCTTTGGGTCTGCGTTAAATTTTCCTTAGTGACTCTTTCTACATTGTGAATTTTTTATTGGATGAGATGCTTGTGATATTTAGGGGGATTTAGTGGAAACATTGGACATGACCCGCACATTTTGTATACGCTAAGTGCTGTTCAGGTTTTGGCTCTCTTCAACAAGCTTGACATTATTGATGTGGATAAGGTGACAAAATGTATCCTCTAGCATATAAATATTGTTCGACTCGGGAACTGCTTTGTATTCCCAAATCCTTTCTTGTGCAGAAGCTTTGTTTCTTGTAAAGTATTTAATGGTCAATAATTCAACTGTGATGCTTCTGTTTGCTTATCAGGATATGCATCTTTAGTTGGGAATATATTTCTTTTCAATTCTGTGCTAAACTAGTTCCTTATCATTACAATTCTTTCTTTGAAAGTTTTAATTTGTGAACAAAAAGCTAGTCCCCATCACTGAAATATTTTCTTGGCCAGAAAGGATGTTAGATCCGACGTTTCTTAACAATTATGTTAGATATTGTTAGCCTGCAAAATGAAGATGGATCCTTTTCCGGGGATATTTGGGGCGAAGTTGATACACGGTAATTTACCCATCTCTATTTTATGATACCTTGGAAGATTGAGCCTTTTTGTGCCTTTTGTCATCCTGATTTAGGCTCACCAAATTCTTTATCAGGTTCTCATATATTGCCATATCTTGTCTGTCAATATTACATTGTTTGGATAAAATTAATGTGGAGAAGGCCGTGAAGTACATTTTAAGCTGCAAAAATATGGATGGTGGCTTTGGTTGCACACCGGGTGGGGAATCTCACGCTGGGCAAAGTATGTTAGATATCAGTAATTACTTTTATTTTAATATCCTGATTGATGCTCAATTCTTTCGTTGGAGCTTCTCATAGGCTTTGGCATGGTCTGATTAATGATTGGTTATTTTGGTAAGCAAATATTAGGTGTATTATTGTGTTTGGTGGGGGTAAAGCTCTTAATCACATGCTAAGGGAGGAAAAGAGTATGTGGAGGATAGCAATATTTACTTGTTTGCTCCACAAATTTATTGAAGAACTAGTGAAAAATGGGGAAAAGTAAAGACTCAGAATCTTGTCACATGCAATGGTCGCAGCTAGATAAATGATTACAGCTATATACATTGATACGGAATTTCCTTGCAAAATGAATGTGATTGCTATTCAATGAGAAATGAAAAATGACTCAGGATCTTGCACATAATCAGAATTTTGAAATAAAATATGGCATGTTTCTAAGCTATGTTTGGTGATAGACTATTCTGGGGCAAATATATCAGTTTCCAAATACATGTGTACTGTAGAATTATTTCAAAGTTAATTGTTTCATGGACTTAGTGTAGAATTTGAATTATTTACTACATGTTTAGAATAAGTTACTCTCACTTTCCTTAATTTTGCTAAAATTACAAAGATCTCACATCTATTTTTAAAACATCCCCTCCCTGAAAAACCAACAGTTTGCGCCACATTGTAGTTCAAAATTAACTTGTTATAAAGAAATCTTTCCTTAACCTAATTAATCAGAGATATGTTTTTTTTTTAATTCTGATTATTTTTAGAAGTTTAAGAAAATATCCTCAAATTCGGTTATTCCTTAAAAAGCTATGTTTTTCCTTAAGAAGGCAATTTTTTCTTGAAAAAAGCTGAAATGAATAGGCCCTTAAAATGACCTGTAGATTTGAAGCTCAGTATGATCTCTGCCTTCTGTCAGTTTTCTGTTGTGTTGGAGCTCTTGCTATTACGGGTTCACTGGATCTTGTTGACAAGGACCTGCTTGGGTGGTGGTTATGCGAGCGACAAGTCAAATCTGGAGGTTTAAATGGCCGTCCTGAGAAACTACCCGATGTGAGTAAAGCTACTAAAAGTTGGATGTATTGCTATGAGTGCCCATTTGGACATTTTTTATTCCTCTAACTTGGATTTGGATCATATCAGGTTTGCTACTCATGGTGGGTTCTTTCTAGCTTGATCATGATTGATAGGGTTCATTGGATTAACAAGGAGAAGCTTATAAAGTTTATTTTAAATTGCCAGGTTGTTTTAGCGGAATTGCTTTCATGTGATTTTGAATCAGTATGTTCCTGATTACTTGCTGGAAGTATTAATTTTGGTTGTGCTAGATTTTCTTAAGTATTCTCTGTTGAATTTGAAGGACACGGAAAATGGAGGAATTTCAGACAGACCCGATGATGCTGTGGATATCTTCCATACATATTTTGGGGTGGCTGGTAATTTTGCTCCACTTTTCTGTCTCTATCTTTCCTTTAGTTATATGAGCTAATATTCATTATTTTCCTGCTGATATATTGTCCTCTGGGCTTTTTGTCTTGAGTGGTATGCGCACTTCCCCACTTATCCAATATAGTATGTCGAGATTTTTCCGTTTTAAGAATGACAGTGGTGGCCACTACCTTTGATTACTGGCTCACTCATTCAAGAGGAAAAGTCACTCTCATTTTAGATCCAAGTGAATCTTGTTATTCCCTTCAAGTTCAGACAAGATTTATGATATTAGTTCAACAAGTCTTAATTAAATAGAAGTGAACTGCAATTAGCGTGTGGTCTTAAATCTTCTCCCTCTCTCTCACACTCACACTAGCGTGCTATGTTGTGAAACCTAACCTTAGTCTGATTTAGGCCGAGTGAAGATTTTTGGATGTCTTTTCATTGGATCATACCTTCTTCCCTGCGATTCATGCTTTCTGTTCTGTGTCTTCTTCCGGTCTGGATGCTCTGAAGTTGAGGATATGTGAAGTTGAAGTTGCACACAGGATACGGTACTGTTGTGTTCAGTATAAAATTTTCTTCCATTCCATAAAGAAAGGTGAACATGTATAGTTTTGGGGTGTTGTGTTCAACTTCATGCATATTCTTTTCTTCAAATCTGGATTTTTCTTTACTCATACCTGCGATTATTGAAATCATGTGAGTCACAATTCAAGGCGATCAGTGATTCGCATGGCCAGACATTCTATATAGCTGTTGAATTGACGTGTGATTCCAAATTAAGCATATCTTGACAGGCATGCCTATCTTCTTTCTGCCTTAGTTTGTTTACTTCTTCAATTTTGTTGTTTTGGTCAGCCAGGCCTATGTCCTCTCTAGGCATGGCAACCTTTAGTTGCGTTCTCTTTCTCCGCCTACCTACCTTAATGGCACATATAAGATTTTAATTCTAGCATGCTCTCAAAAGGAATCAAACCCAAATTCTTTAGGAGAGGCAAGGATTAACCTCTATGGGTTAGTTCATTTTCTTATTCATCAGTTTTTGTTTTCCTGATTCCTTTTCTTTTCAAAAGATTGCTGGGGATTCTCAATTTGTTTTATGTTTGTTCTTGCAGGACTTTCACTACTTGAATATCCAGGAGTGAAACCAATAGATCCAGCTTATGCTTTACCAGTTGACGCTGTAGACCGAATCTTCTTTAAATAAATAAGGGCTCTTATTTCGTTATTTCGACACTTTTTCCCTTTTTTTCCTTTCTTCTTCTTCTTCTTTTTTTGTGACATATTTCCGCATTCATGGTAAAGACGAAACCCTGTCACGCTTGAGAGCTAGATCGGTTTCATATTTGCAAACCATGTAGTTTGATGAATCTTACCTGTGGACATAATAGTACCGTCCATATGGAATCATGAAACTGTCTTCATTGTATACCTAAACTCAATGTGGGGCCTTAGTTAATCCTTTCAAATTCATCACTTTGTGCGTAGAAAATACTTTATAGCAATCTCATTCTTGATACAAGTCACTTGTAACGTATTTTTACATGCTAAGAAATATACTAAGTTGTCAAATCTTTCTAATTTTATGTTTATTAAAGTTTCCCCCCCCCCTCCCCCTTTTTGCCTCTCTCCGTTTACAACTTATTCTTTTATCTTCTCATTATCTCTCTCTCTTTTTTAAATGAGAATTAAACAAGAATAAATTGAAAAAAAAAACACTAAATATACAACAAGTAACTTGTATTTAGGATCAAAATTTCTCTCTACAAATGACTTATATTTAGAAATAGAGTGGTATGAAGATTTTATCTTCCTTGCTTAATTTTTCAACTACTTCCTTAATGGCTTCTCAAGTTGGTACCACCATTTTAAGCATTTTCTTCAGTCAATAAATTGAACAGAGAATGGTGGATTCACGGCTATTGTTTTTTAAAGCCTGGATCACTAATTGAACATTTCATGCGTGACCAAATTCTTACAGAATACAATTTTCAGAGAGCTATATTTCTGCAGTATAATCACGGCAAATATTCTGTGGACAATTTCGTATGTTTTAGAAAAATACCTGTGATCAACAAAAAAGAAGTAATAATTTCGGCCCCCAACAAAAAATAAAAAAGAGGTAATACTCATGCTTGATTTATCCTTAGAATGCGATCCAGAATTTTCGAAAGCCGCTACGTTTTCTTCACATTTCGCATAAGCAAGCCAAGCAAGTTATTGCTGGCATTGTGTTATTAACTTTTTATTTTATTTCATAATATTAATTCGTACTATGGCGATTTTGTCGAAGAACTAAATTTAGTAGTCATGCATAACCACCACAAATTCATTTCCCAGCTCATTTTTAACACCTTGTAATTTTTAACAGAGCTGTCTCTTAAATTAACTGATTAACTAACTCATTCATAATAAAGCCATAGATTCCAATTGGTCGACTTAGATCGTAAAATTTAGCATGAATTATGGATTTACTTCAATAAGAATTACAGCAATATTCAGTTTTTTAGTACTTCCTTCCATCTCGCTCAGATCTGACCAGAATCATAACAATATTTAGCAATATAAACTGACATTTAAGAAAAGGAAAGCAAACAGATCTGACATCCCACTCTCTCATCTCGTCCCTTACAAGCGATCAAAAACAGAAGGAGCTCGACCTGCCCTTACCTGCATTGCTCATCGAATGCAGTGAAATCAGACGATGAATCCGTATGTTCTTGGCTCTTTATTCTGTTGTCAACTTTCCAGGTATGTCTTAGTTTTCCTTCTTTTCTTTTTTTCCCGCCAAATGGTATATATTCTGTGAACTTTTCATGCATATCTGCTTAATGTTTGCGCTGGCAGTAACCAGGAGGTATAAAGATATGTATATTGTTTTTATAAATTCGATAGATTGCACGTCATGAGTAGAAAATTGCGACAAATTCCTTATTTTAATTCCTAGTCACGCAAGTTACAAAAACTAGGCCAGATGAACCCTAATATTGAATATTAATATTTAGTCGTCTTCTTGAATGATGCTGATGCATGACATGAGGTTGCACAACATCAGCCTTAACTCAGGAGAATCGGCCAAATTGAAAGGGCAGTGGCATTCTAAAAAATTAGTTTCAACATTAACACACTGTTTGGCTCAACAGAGAGAAATGAGGGGGAATTTTAAGATCCCTCGTGGAGAAGGAATTTTTATGATACCTTATTTAGTTTTAATAGAAAATTGACTACCCTAACTTTATAAATGTTAAATGAAATTTCTCACTTTTCTATTCTATCAAGATATAAATACATATAATGCAATTGATTAACTTTGACTCATATGACACTATCACACACGTAGGATGTTAAATAAAATTTCTCACTTTTCCATTCTATCAAGATAAAAACCCATGAGTGATAGGTTTCAATTAAAGCATTCAAGGTGAAAAAAAATATTGCATAAAACAATAAAATTAGAAAAAGAAGAAGAAGAAGACAGGCCTAACAATACTTTCCAATTTTGGAAACAATTTTTGAAATTTAAAATTTTATTTCTCAATCAATAAAGCATGAGAGGAAGTAAAATATTTTAGTTAGGTTAATTTTAAAATTAAAAATTTTATTTTTCATCTTTTCTACAAAAAATCCCCACTTCTAAAGAGAAAGCTGGAAGGATAAAAAGGTGAAAAAAACTCCTCCCCTCCCTAAAAGTTATTTCAACCAAGTAAGAAGGGGAGTTAAAAAAATAAAAAATATACTAGCCAAACAACTTCCCTCCCCTCCAAAAACCCGTACCAAAAGTGTGTAAGATTAAGTTGATATCTAGGATGAGACCTATGTCACTTAAGATGTTGATTCGACTACAATACAAATGGCGTGGAGCAAAAAAGTGAAGCACGAGTGAGTTGTCAAAACAAAATAAAAACTGCAAATAATAAATATAGCAGAGAAAATCACACAGAACCAACTCGTTGGCTTCATAAGATCACAACATTGATGTATCTTTATACAAACAAGGGCAGAACGATTATATGCAAGTACAAATACGACCTGCATCAGCCAGCCTGTTCTGTTTTTGAATTACAAATAGAAAATAATAATATCAAGAACGGCAGTAAAAAAAATAAAAAATTCTATGGGTGACACATCTTTCTCATAGGGTAGATGAGGAAAAAAATCAGGCCTTTATAATCTTTATTTCCAAGCTACAGCATCGATATCATCCCTGGCTTGTTTGTACAATTCAAGCCTCTTAGCTATTTGTGTTCTCCTCTCCATAAGCGCTGGGTCTTCATCCAACATGGCCCCCAACTGCTGCTTCTGAAAGATAACCAGACAACATTAGCATAAAAGGTTTTCGCAATATAAACTGACATCAAATATCATGCTTGCAACCAGATTAATTGTCTAACACTATACCTTGATAAACCCTCATACAAAAGATTTGGGTTCAGGTACGAACGAAATCCTCTTAGAAGTTCATTTTAGTTATCAAAAAGAGGCAGTAAAAGTTCCGTTTGGTACGAAACATTAAAGATAAGGGATAAAGATTGGGATTACAATTGAGAAAAATCATTAAAATAGTATTGGGAAAACCATATTAGAGGTACTTATACTTTTTTTCAATTTTTAATTTGGTACCTATGTGTTTTTTGTTCTTAACTAAATCTTTATTTTTTCCTCTATTAACATCATTAATCCTTATGTTAAGACTAAAAATATTAATAGAACAAAGTTATAAGAGCTAATGTTGTTAAAAAGATAAAATTAAATGTTTAATTAAAGGGGAAAAAACACATAGGTACCAAATTAAAAATTGAGAGAAAGTATAGGTACCTTCAATATGGTTTTCCCAATAGTATTTAACATAAGTAATTACTTGTTACATGAGATTTAGCAAACCTATAAAGGTGGGATTAGGGAATACCATTGGTACTTTCCCCATGGTATTCCTCAATTCTATATATATGGGTTTGGTTAATTCCATATAACAAACAATCTTTTATGCTAAATACTTTTTTAATAGATTTTCTCAATCACAATCTCAATTCCTATCCCTAATTTTCAATGCTTCCTACCAAACAAGACCCAAGATTACTTCAACTCAATCGTAGATTACTTCACATGCGTTCCCAAATCAATCGTAGGCATAGGGACAAAAGAAAAAAAGAATTATATCAAGTGGATATGGCAGACACGAGAGTTTGTCCGACACTCCAACATATAGAGGAAGCAAAAAGATCCAAACTACCTGAAAATTATAATGAAAATCTATCAAAAAGAAAATAAGGGGGTCAAGCAGTCAGAATCACATGAAAAAACAAAAAAAGTTGAATTATGGTCATACTCAACTTTTAGGCATGTATCCTTTCTCATCCTTGTCCGTCAATAAATTCAAATGTTTAATCTACCAATTTAGTGACGCAAGATTCATTATATTTAACATCTTACGACATAGACCCCATGATTTGCGCCACAATCAAGATCAACAAAACCAGGAAATTCAATAAGTTCTCTGTGGACACAACAAAATGAAAGCCTTGCAAATTAAGTAAACTAATGCCAGCAACGAAACAATTTTTTTGCTCGACCATGCAAAAACGATTTCGGGAAGGAAGTAGAGTTTATGTATACAAATGCAAACATCAACCAGGAGATATCATATCGTACCTCTTTCTTTCCAACTTGAACATAAAAGTGGTTCAGCAATGATCTCTTAGCCTCCCTTACTTGACAATAAACCACAGCCTTTGGTATGGAATTTCTTAGCGTATCGCAAACCATGTTGATGTAGGCACTAACATTTGATCCTGAAACAAGGAACAAAGTAAATTTACAGAATAAAAAATCTACTCCCGTCTCCCCAGGGGGGAAAAAAAAAATTATGACTGCAGACCTTTCCATGTCAATAAATCAATTCAGGTTAAATTATTAATTATTAATATCCAGAATAAGTAGAACTATGAAATTTAAATCCAAACACTGCAAGAGACCCAAAAGTAATGAAAGTTCAACACACTAAACTCGTAATCTTGTAGGATAAAGAGCTCATGAAAATTACATGGGAGATAACAGGAGATATTCAAAGTCCTAATTTACTCAATATAAACATATATGTGATTCATGTGATGAGATGGCTTGTGGGAAATTACATACCAATCCTCCTGAGGTGATTATCTGTGAAACTGTCCTGACCAGGCCGATTAGGAGTTTTTTCTGGTTCAAGATTATGAATCTTCCGGAAAAATTCCGCTGTTAAATAGCTAGACTCCATATCAACCAGCCGCAGAACTGTCTTCCTACTTTCTTCTCGAAATCTTTCCAATGCTTCATTCGCTGCAGCTGCTATGTCAGACTGAAGTGTTGGAAATCTTCGTAATTCCTGCATTTAAAATAAAAGCATTCTTGTGAAATAATCGCTTGCAGCATCTATTTGTCCAATGTATGTTATATGGTTCAGTTTATGAGAAAAATAACCTTGTAAAAGTGATGCTAAATAGCACTTTTTGTAAAATGCTAAATAGACCGAACAGTATGCACAAGTAACATTGCAAATCTCATTGATATGAGGATCTGGGTGCATTTAAGGGAGGGGAAAATTTAATAATTCACTATGAACTGGCGAGGATGAATTCCGCTCCAAACAACTCAGTCTCACGCCAAATATCAGTTTCAACATCGATTATCACAATAAATAAAGTAGAATGACAGAATAGAAAACCCATGTTGACGAAATAGCTTGAGCTATTTACTAATTTCTCCTTGTACATATATAATAGCTTAGTTTCTTAAAATCTAAGTAGTGCGGTTATGTTTCTCTTTGAATTACATCACAAACTAGAATAAACCCCAAGCATCTGATGAAGTCTGAGATTAGCTATATTATTCACAGCATATAAAGAGTGCTGCTTCCTATAACAGAAAGATTGATGGATAGTTCAAAACATTACAATTTGAATATGACCTACATGTGTGTCTATGTTTGTTCTGTGAACATCACCAGTATTATATGAAAATCACAGAAGAGTCTGAAAGAGTAGTATCATCTCAAAGCCCTGCTTACCTCAGTTTCAGATATTGACTTCCGTACAAGTTCCTTTAAAACAAAATGAACCTGAGGAAGAGGGAAAAAAAATCAGATCACAAGTACATGGAGAGAATTAGGCCAGAAATAATGGGTAACGCAAAACAAAGAAACAAATTAACTAAGACCATTTCTTAGAGTTTTTTAAATTTACTTTCACCTGACTACTTGAGTACCAAACGGTGGATATACAAAATCACAGGTTAAAAAGCGAAAACATATTATAGACTGAAACCTGACAGAAGCATCTATGAAGAAATCTAAAGGTTTCAAAATATATGGTTTTTGAGGTCAAGAATAAATGGGATAAATCTGCTGCTTGGGAAATGATCTATGGTCAGTCTATCACAATTTATCATGAATAGATGAGACTATATGTGGTTTCCAAGGCATTCTGGATAGATAAGATTGTATGCCCTTGAAGATAGCTAATGAGATGGTTCTCACTTAGAATATAGTACATTCTTGCCATTTGAAATGCTTCAAAAGTACATTCTCATAACCTAGAAAAATGCACTTAATGTATTTGAAATGTTGACAAGTTTACAGGTTTATGGATTATGGATGGTTATATTAGACGTAACCAAGTGCATTTAGTGCATATTAGTATTTGATAACTCAATTAGGTGACAGACCAAGAGAACAGAAAACATTCGTTGGAGCCACATCAAACAAAAACAATAGAGTTTGAAAAAGATTACGGCATCCACTGAGGCTTCAGCCGGGCCTTTGAAATAGCTGATAGATCCATCTATAAGTCTTCTATATCCTTGTTCCGGAGCAATCAAATGGGGCTGATACCCGTCAGCTTCCGTAACAACTCTCTGGACATTTTTTAAAGAAAGATGACGATCAAACGGGAGCTTTTTCAAAGCAGCTGGTAATTGGTTGTCAAAAACTCCATATATCCGGTCACCACCAGCACGCCTGAGAATAGCAGTTGGTTAGAGATAAACCCCCCCAAACACAGTAAATATTAAAAACAAAAGATTAGTTGTCAGATTAAGATGTTCCTGAACTTTAAACTAATGCTAAAACCAGGCACGAACCCCCATCCAGATGTTCCTTAACCTCTTCATAAAAGAAGAGACATATCTTCTATTTTACCAGACACAAGAAAAGCAATCTTTCACCATGAAGCATAAGGTAATAGACAGTCAAACACTTGCACATGAATGTACATGGTACATGGTATATTCAAGAAAACGGAAACTTGTGGACAGAAGAGAGCTCTGTCCTCCCATATACGACAATGAATCCATGTGCAGACTGCTTGAGTGTTGTAGATTCGCTTGATCTCACAATAGCATGAATATCCAACAGATGCATTTGCTTGGTAAAAATATTTGTTATATATCGAGATTCTTAAGTGAAAATCTCGTTCAATGTCACTCTACTATAAAAGAATCAGCATTAAATAGAAGAAAATCTTTCTAAAATCAGTCCACTTAAACTAGTTACTTACCCTCCATCCAGGTGTTCCTTAAAAACTTTATCAAATGCACGACACATCTCTAAAATAGTATACAGCTGGGCCTATAAAAACAAGCAGCATAATTTTGCATGAGCAGGAATCAAATAATTTTAAATCTAAGGAAATAAATTTCAGCATGAACTCTGAGTTCTTACTCCTGAGTCAACAGCAATAGGCCTTCCAATGCGATCCAACTCTGCATTAAGCTCATCAATGGTCTTATTTATTAAGGAGATGATGCTAGGTATTTTCTGCCTGATAACTTGCTCCAGATGCTGAATAGATGAAAACCAGTTAATGCAAGAAAAAGAAATTACTAATATATAAATTTCAAATCTGTCCTAAAATAGCTGTACCACAATCACAATGTGAAGCTGAAAATTGAAAACAAGTTATCAAACAAAAAACCTGGGATAGCAGCTTAGCAAGGTATTCTGAGCCCATTTTATGCGCCAAATGTCCATATTCAGGGCTTGTCTCAAAATATTCACGTTCCTTCTTACGAGCAACAATCATGTCAACATTTCTATTTATGTCAGCTTGTGAACGATTCACGATTCCAACCCAAGGATGCTGCAGCCTGTACTGCCTTCCTTCAAGAACCTTCAAGATTCAAGTAAGAAAATGAATCACATTTTAACTTAGTGATAAACTGCCGTTCATGATAAATTACAAATTATGAAATCAAATTATTGAAAATAACCAATCAGTTGTAAGGAATTCATACATCAACAGCATTGGTTCCTTTATCCATAAGGTCAAGTTTAGTCAACACTCCAAATGTTCTTTCACCTGGCACAAATAATAGAAATAATTTGATAAATGAATAACAAACAATGTCATTAATTGGTGGAAACACAACATACACCCTTCAAATTCCTTCCTGACATAAAAAGCATACCTGAAGGATCAACTTCTCTTGCAAGTTTTATAGCATCTGAAGTGGCAATATCTTGATTTGCAGGAGAAATAGCTAGTATAATGGAGTTTGGCTTTATAACCAGAGAGCTCAATCAGATAACATTGAAAAGGCAAACAATAAGAACTAATGTAGACTAATAAATAATGGTAAATTTAAAACCAATTCAACAACTAAGAAATTAAGTAGCCTCTTGCACATTCAGCCAAAGTACCCACTTTCTTCGATTGTGTTGAGAATAAGAGGATGGGCCCACTATTATACATGCTAACCTTTTATGCTTAACTTGAATGGCATACATCCATAGACACAGGAAGCCTGGCTAGAAAAGTAACCCCCTTTAGCACTATGCTTTCTTTCTTAATAGAAATCAATCTTCCTTCTTTAAAAACTTTCATTTGGTCACATTTCTTAGTTTTTTAATCTCAAGCTCATTTGATAAAAAGTAAACAGTTTTCTTCTTTTGGGGGATTAATCTTGGCTCCGAATGTGATTCATAATCCAATTCTTCAGTCCAGAGATGACACTATCACTACGGCCTTGTTTGATTCAACAAAGGGGAAGGGAGGGAAAGGAAGAGGAAGGGAGAGGTTTTAATGGAGGGGAGGGGAGGGGAGGGGAGGGATATCAATGATACCTTGTTTTGTTCAAGAGGGGAGGGAAGGGGCCTTATTTTTACATGGACAACTTTACCCATATTTTTATAATTAAAGATGATATATTATAAATTGTAAATATGATATATATATAAACATATATCCAATATAAATAATTAATTAAAAATTTGGTTTCCATTATTACAGGAAAGTTTCTTAAATGTAAAAATATATGCATATATAATATAACTAATTTTGTACAATCTTTGTGGCTGTAATGGAAGTTTGTAACTTATCTTTATTTTAATAATGAAAAAGAAAAGAAAAGAACGGACATGCGAGTTTGATTATTGGAAAGTAAAAGCCAGCCATAAACAGTTGACAACGTGACTAAGAACCAGGGAAAATGAGTTTGCGAGGGGGAAAAAAGTTTAACTTAGGAAGGCAAATCTGGAAAATTGAAAAGATGCAACGGACAATTTGGTCAAGACGGTCATAATATTTCTCCCCCCTCCAAAAAACCCACTTTTGGAGGGGTAGAGGAGGGGAAGAGAGAGGAACAAGACAAAAAATTTTACATCCCTCCCCCTCCCCTCCTTCCAACCAAACACACGTACCTCTCCCTTTCCCCTCCCTTTCCCTCCCCTCCCCTTAAAAAACCCCAACCAAACACTACTTAAGCCAGAGCTTATTGAGTTGTGCAATAACATTTTTAATCATATTTGATAATTTCCTCTTGCCATTCATACGAGTTGTACAATTACCTTCTCAACATAAGATCGAACCATGTTTTCAATATCTTCAACAATAGTGTCCGGTTGTCCCTCTGTAAAAGAAGCCAAGATTTCATCATCCATTACAAATTCTAGTGATTCCCGTTTTTTTTTTTAAAAAAACTGCCACTTGATTTGCCCATATATACTGGGGCATATGCTGAAATTTACCTACTGCAACCTTGGTTAGTCCAGGGAGATCTATGAGTGTTAAGTTTACAACTGCATACAAAGCGAGGAGGGCATCATTAGTAAAAAAGAAAAAAAAATAAGTATTCTCATCCTGACAAGAGAGATGTAGCATAAAAGGAAAAACATAGTGTTCTGCAGTTAATAAAAATCATTTGAGCCATGTTTAGCAAAATTTTGTACGCTGTTAAGGCAGTATAACTGAATGTTCAGAGAAAACAGATTAAAAGACAGATCTGAAGCCAACTGCAAACTATATCAAAGCTATCCATTTCAACAAATTATTGTTACAGCTTGGTATACGATTATCCTTATATGATCCTCATAAAATCTTTTCCTCCAGAACTTGAGATTAGATAGAACTTTTAAACAACGAAAATTGCAAAAATTAATGGCAGTTAAAATTTTAAACACGGTCAGGGTCCACACTAGAATGATCACCTTAGCAAACAAATTAACATAATATTACTAGCATGGCATTTATAATATTATCAGGGTGTAATGCTGTTACAAACCGTGAGGAGAATATATGCTGAGGTGAATTGGAACATTAGAAATTTGCTTTGTCTTTCCAGTAACACGATCTGTTTCATCTGCAATTTCTTTTCTCACAGCAGCTGCATGGACAGTGAAACAAAACCCACAAAACTTTATTACAGTTAACAGTCATTAACTACTTACTATTACAAGATTGATTGTTGTTGATTACAGTTGAAATTTCAACGAACAAGCAACCACTAGTGATTAGTAAAAAAAACTGCCTTTCAGCTTTCCTCCCCTGGGGGGATGCTTTCTGTTTCTTTCCTTCTTTTTTTTTTTTTATTTTTAAAATGTCAGTATATCACGTCTTATAATCTGTGACGATTTTTGCTTTAAAAATAACAATAATTTTGAATATGGGAAATCATTGAAAAATTGATCAGAATGGTACAATATACTATGCATAATACGTAATTAAATCTATCACCGTCTATGGGAGGTTGAAAGCTACATTGAACTCAATTGAAAATAAGTTTGAAGTTGTTGACGAAGACAAACTTGTTTTCCTAGACCAACACTGATCCTAGCTAATTTGAGATAGACAGGCTTATCAATAAAAATGAAATGCGGAACATGCAAGTGACTGGACATGAAGATATCTGAATTCACATCAGTGCTGCATATCTTATTTGGACAGCAGTCAAAATTTAGTGAGAAACTGCATATACCAAAGTCAGTGAATCTCTTTCTTGGGGCGTGAAGAAACTCAGCATATTCCGTCCCACCCTCTGTCTTATGAAGTTGCAGCACTAGGGGTCTCCGTGTGACAATGCCTTACCAACAGAGAAAGTCGATGTCATAAAACCATTCAAAGAAACCAAAACAAATATTCAGCAACAGCAAATAAATGTTTGAATTCCTCGAGAAGATAAGATAGGTTAGCAAATGGTACTTCACAACAGCAACCAGTTAGCTCTGACAAAAATCCAAAAAAAAAAAAAAATCTTGTGCAATGTACCAGAAAAGGCAAGAAAGGTAAGTTAAAAAAAATAAATAATAAATTTTGCACAGTCTCTTTTTGCATCAGCTCAACCTATCCATTTCAGACTTGGAATCAACTTTCAGTTTGTCAAAAACACCAAACTTGCTGCTGCCCAGCAGGACAGCAGCATACTTGTTACTTCTCATGCTTCCTCAACTACACTGCAGATTATATAGATAATAACGATAAAAACACGAGATATTCCAGATTAACACTGAGCCTTACCAGATCCACGAGGCAGAAAATCTCTTCCTACCACGCTTTCCAAGACTGACGATTTCCCTGAACTCTGGTTTTCAAAACATACAACCACAGAATCAGAACATTCATTGTCAATACCTCATAGAGCAACCCCACAAGATTTGAGATTATGAAAGAACCTGAAGACTCGATACATACCTGGCCACCAACCACGGCAACCGAGGGAAGAGCCTCCCAGAGGGACAAACCCTCGCCACCATGGTCACCCAAGACAGTGCAAGCTCGTTGAATCTTATTGATAAGCCCGATCAAGCTCGTCATGGTCGCCATTTTTGGATATTCAGGTATGGATAGTCACAGATTATACGTCAGGAAAAAATGAGGATCTCAAATGGATTAAATGAACCCAAGTAATGAGATCTGAGAAGAGAATGCGGGATCTAGGAAAAGATTTTCAGATCGAAGCAGTGATGGACGTCGATGCAGAAAACGCGTCCAAAGAGAAGGGGAAGAACGTGAACGGAAAGGAGACAGGCGAAGAAACAGAAGGAAAGCAAAAACGGTTGTTAGGAAGAATGGCCACTCCACAGTTTACAGTTGTGCAAAGCAAATTTTGTTTGGAAGGTTCCATCAATCAAATTGGAGGATATTAGTTCTAACATCATTTTTCAAAATTCACACAATTGTTGTTTTAAAGTTTTTTTTAAGAGGTTAAAAAAAAGATTTTGATTACTAGCAATAAAAATTTTAATTTGTTGAGTTCACCCTGTTAAATTTCAAGTGACATTTTTAAAATTATGCCCCAGGTACTTTACACTTTTGAACCTACTTAATTTATTGAGTTTACCCTTTACCCTTTACACAAGTAAATTTTAATTCAATACTACTACTTCCGGTCCTAATTATAAGACCCAATTGATTAATTTAGAGAGATTAAGAAATTTAATTAAATTAGTTATTTGTAATAAATAAGTGTTATTTTTTTCTAAAATATTCTTGCTAATCAAGTTTGTTATCTAGAACTACCATTATTAAAGGATCATCTTAAAAAAAAAGAATAAATATGAGAAACAAAGTAGATTGGAGTCTTATATTTAAGATCAAAATAAAAATCAAACAAAGTCTTATATTAAGTACCGGAGGTAGTATAATTTTAGCATTTTCCTCTTGCCATGTGTGTTCATTTTCTTATTTTTATTCATCGCTTTTTTCCTACTTTTAAAATTACCTTGAAGTTTTAGGTAACTTTTCGTTAACTTGTAAGGTTAATGGCTCTAGATGCTTGACCAGGACAATGATAGGTTAAAGAGAAGCACTCTCCAGTGGCTAAGTGGGTAAGATTATTTTAAATGCTAACATAATTTTTAGTCTTTTCTGCTCTTATTTTAGTTTTTTTTATCTCTCAAATTTCATATTATAAGTTTTGATCTCCAAGTTTTGATTGAATTATAATGACTAATATCTTAAATGAAAAAAATTTAAGGGATAAATTTTTTTATTAAACCTTATTTTAATCATAAATTCATTTTGCAAATAATATATTTTGGATGAAAGTAACGAATTATATTTTTGTTAGTAAAAATTACTTTATTTTCTTTTCAATTTTTCAGTAAACCATTTTTAATTGGGTCTGATTTTGATCTGGTTTGCCCTTAGTTTTCTTTGGGTTAGGGCGGGCTTAAGCATAAGTCGGCAAAAAACCAAAAAAAGCGTCTTACGCATAGGGTCGAACCAAAGGGCTCAAAGATTTCAGATCCGTGTTAAAGAATTTAAGGCGGCTAGGGCTTTGCAATTGCATGCGCAAAAAATGCTGGGTCGAAGCATAGGGCTTGGATTTTTTGCCTCCTGGGCTTTTTGAACATCGCCCATTTTGATGGGGTAGGAGGTGTAGACTGTAGACCATCCTCCTCCGCCGCCTGCTATTGTCGGACAACCCGAACCGTGGGCAGCCGGCCGGTGATTTCGGGATCACAGCACCTTCTGCCGTGATTTCGGCCGGTGTTAAAGCAGATTGTACTGTCGCTCGTTTGATCTGAAGCATAGCGAGAACTTTAAAAATCCAAAAAAAAAACCGTTAACTAAACGGATAAACTATTAGGATTGGCCCAACCTTTTGTTGAATCAGGAGAGAACTGGAGGGAAAGGCCTGTAGAGAATCCGGACGGCGCTGCTCTTCATTCCAGTTCTGCACGGGGGGACACCAAACCATCAGACTACCCGAGCTTCCCATCACCGGCAGCAGGCCAGCAGCATCCGCGACGATAAGGAGGAAATCACTCCGGCCACCGTCACTCCATGCCTAGCGAAGGTTGCGCCTTTTGATCAAGAAACACTAGCCATGGCCATAGAATGTCTGGTTCTGGGTAATCAAGCTCTTTCCTTTTCCTTCTTTGTATGCTCCAGTTTTTGAATTCTTGTAAGTTTTTTATATTTCATTCATGTACTTTCTTTAAAGGCTTTTGCTGGTTATACCGCAGGTGCTGGGCAAGAAGTTGGGAAGAGCTGTGTGGTTGTGACCATCAATGGCAAGCGAATCATGTTCGATTGTGGAATGCACATGGGCTATTTGGACCATCGCCGATACCCCGACTTCTCTCTCGTCTCCAAGCTCGGAGATTTTGACGATGCTCTCACTTGCATCATCATCACTCATTTGTACGATAGAAACTCTCCATTTTTGCTATACCATTAAGTGAAGTTATCTTAGCATGACAACATATTCATTTGCAAATATTCAGTCACTTGGATCACGTTGGAGCATTACCTTATTTCACGGAAGTTTGTGGTTATCGTGGTCCTGTTTATATGACGGTGAGTTCTTTTTCATGCTTGATAAAAGTTTTGCCTGAATTTTCTCAGGGATTTGATTCATGTGTTCATGAAGAGAGTTCAATAACACAAGCGTTTTAGGAGTCACAGAACTTATGAGACCGTAAAGGAGTAGGCCTGGTCACTCAAAAGCCTGATATAAATCTACTTTCATCCAGTAATACGGAGTCTAATTTCATCTAATCATTTATTTATATTTCCTTGTATGTTCTACCCCTTGAGAGGATGTATAAAGTGTAAGCTATATGGATTCTGAAATCTGATTCATTTTTACATACAGTTCCTGATGTATCCTGATTCTATTTATTGATGTCCTTGTTATTCCATTTGGAATGCAGTACCCAACAAAAGCCTTGGCTCCTTTGATGTTGGAGGATTATCGTAAAGTGATGGTTGATCGTAGGGGAGAAGAAGAACAATTTACTTCTGAACATATTGCGCAGTGTATGAAGAAAGGTAATGTAGGATTAATCTTTTCTTATCCCCCCCCAAAAAAAAATTATGTTTATACATTGTCTTTCTCTGCATACAAAAGATTTATTCTATATTGACTGGCCTCGATTATGTTCTTGTTTGAGGGTATTGTATCTTCCATCTTTATGTAATGTCTGTAGTTATTTAAGCTTTGACACACGCGCTCAACTATATTGTGTACAATATTGCCAAACCAGATTTGAGCGTTGTGGGCTCATGAAGGGTGTAATTCTCCCTCTGCAGTTTTTTCATATTTTATCCCCAAACTCAGAGTTGAACAGTGATTGGGCTGCTTTAATAAGCTTTTGAGCATGCAGTTGCTACTCCAAATTATCTACTCGCCTAATGTCTAAATATGGCACCTCATTTTTACTATCTTATTTGGGTTCTTGTGTGTAGTTGTAGCTGTTGATCTGAAGCAAACTGTGCAGGTTGATGGAGATCTTCAGATTCGTGCCTACTATGCAGGCCATGTAAGGCTTTTAAGCTTCATGTTTGCTATAATTTAGTATGTGATGGGTACCTAAGTGGGATGGGGAATCTTACTCCAAAAGCTAGCTGTTGAAGTGGGTGAACCAACCCACTTAAATATCTCATTGAGCATCCCATTCTACTCAATGTGGGACTTGGTATTCCATACTACCAAGTCCCTATCAATTGGTGCCCCCATGGAAAGTTGATGTCTCGGCGGCTACACTTCATGGCACTTCGCTTGGCATCCTATTGATCAGAACCCTTCATGGGTGGCCCTCTCCGGAGCCATCAATGGCCTGGCCTTGATACCAATTGATGGGTACTAAAGTGGGATGGGGAACCATACCCCAAAAGCTAGCTGTTGAAGCAGGAGAATCAACCCACTTAAATACCCATTGAGCATTCCATTCCACTCAATATGGGACGTGTTATCCCATACTACCACCTCCCCATTAGTGTATTACTATTCTTAACCAATAATCTCTCCTATGTGATTTGATTAGGTTATTGGAGCAGCAATGTTCTATGTAAAGGTTGGGGATGCAGAAATGGTTTACACAGGTGACTACAACATGACACCAGACAGACACCTTGGAGCAGCTCAAATTGATCGATTACGTCTTGACCTTGTTATAACTGAGTAAGAATGCCTATGTCTTGTGTGAATGCATCATATAATGACGTTGGTAATCTTTTTCTGTTGGTGTCATAATTCCTATTTAAGGATGGCTTTGAAAACTCTGATCCTCATACTGCTTAGAGTCGTGAGGGTTTTTTTTTAAAAAAAAAAAAAATCCTTTAATGAATAATATATGTCTCAATAGCCTGCAAGAGGCCTTACATCTTATTCTTTTGGTATAAGAATATTCTTTTTCAAAAAAATAACGTCTCTGGTCACATGACAAGGTTTAAACTGTCTTATTCTTAGTTATAATTCCTTGAGTAGTTGAGTAAGGGAGAAAGCTACACGCTAACTTTGCAAGATAAAGACTAAAAGACAAATTAGATATGGTTGGTCAGTGAGTTCAAAGGTAGGATGTCAAATATACTGGCTCCTTTATGGCAAAGACAAATTATGAGAATTCCTTTCAAGATGACAAACCTTGTAGCTGATTGCCAACCTATGATATTTTGGACTAATCCTTCTTATTGCATTATGTTAAGGAAAACGTGAGAAATTGCTGTGAGCTTCTCGCTCTGCATTCTTTAGAACATAGGATTGTTCTTAGCATCTGAATTTTGACAGTCCATAGCTATTTTGAATGTATGTCACACACTATCTTGTTCTATTAACAACGGGTTGAGTTTTGAAGCTAACGTATATTTATTATTTATTTTTTTCAGTAGAATTGTGGCCACCTACTCAAATTTCAAATATGTTAAATGATTTTGGGTTTTTCGATTCCATTTTTATGATGGCTTTAGCTTGGACGGGTTATTGATATTTTTATAAGTACTTCTGTTGCAGATCCACATATGCAACTACAATACGGGATTCAAGATATAGCCGTGAGAGGGAATTCCTGAAAGCTGTATGTAGTTAGCAGTATCCACTTTAAATTAAATGTGCATTTGTAAAGTTTTTGTTATTCATCTCGTAAAAAAAAGCTAATAATACTCTATACAGGATTTTAGTGACTCCCTTAATCCAGCCTTCTATCATGTGTGCCTAATTATGATGGTAAATTAGGTCGTAAAATTAAACACACATTTCTAGCATAGCTTTGTTATTCATAAGATTCAGTTATATTAATCTTGAGGAGGGCAGGATGCTGACTGGCCAAGTTATCTTTGAGGTTACATGAAATCATCTCAAGTTACAAATTGAATTAGTATTGTATTTGCCAAATATTCTGCTAGTGTTCATTTTACTTTGGGTTAAGGTGCATCCAGCGTCCCGAATGTATCCTAAAGTATTTTGTGGTGTATCTAGCACTTTGAAGTATTTTTTTTAAGTGCTTCTGGCGTAGTATTTTTTTGTGCATCCAATACTTTGAAATATTTTAAGGTGCTGAATGCATTGCAAAATGTTTTAGGATACTGGATGTACCTGAGAAAATACTTCTGGATGCACCTTAACCTTTTTACTTTGTGTTTTGCATTTTATCTAGGTGCACATGATTTACAGTAACTGCCACTCTGTCACACTAGGTTCATAAATGTGTTTCTAGTGGAGGGAAGGTACTTATTCCAACATTTGCTCTTGGAAGAGCTCAGGTACGTTGTCCAAAATGATCATTAATCGTGCTGACTATAATTTCTGATTTCATAGGCTTGCAACTATTGGACAATTGCAATTATTGTACCTGTGATATATTTGATGATGAAATTTGTAGAGATATGATATGATATTATATAAATATTATGTAATTATGATTAAGATATGATATGATATGATATCATCATAATGAGCCATTAATGCAAAGGCTCCTCCCACTTGTGTATATATATGTGCATATTCTGAGCAATAAAAAACAAGAGAATTATTTTCCATATTATTCTATTCTCTACATGGTATCAGAGCGTGAGAATTTTTTTCTGGGTGGTAATTTTCGGTTGCTACAGTACCAAAATTACCGTGTGAGCTTGTGACCCCCCTTCCCAACGCTTCCTTTGGTGCCACCGCCCTGCCCAACCTTCTTCCCTCCTTCGGACTGGCCAACCACCAAAGTTCGACGGCCATCCGAGCTGTGCGTGGATCTCACGCGCCTCCTGCAAGTTCGCTGAAATTCCACGCGCCGGTGCGTGAGACACCCGTTTCACCGGCGACTTCAACGATTGGCGGCGAAACCTGATTTCCGGCGAGATTGTGGTGCTTCCTTGGTGTGGGTACGACGTGGTGCACTGTTCACTCCGACGTCCGTACGGTCCGTACGGTTTATTACTTTCTGGCATTCTGTTCTGTTTCTGGCGCATCTCCGGCACTCTGTTTGTGCAATTCAGTTCTGTTTGCAGCTCCCTGTGTAGCTGTTGGCCTTTTCATTGCTTTGGTATTCATTAGGTGATCCGGGTATCGTGCTTTGTGTTCCTGTGTGACACTCTTTCACATTCCCTTTGGTTAGTGCATTTCATCTATGGCTGAAATTAAATCTGTCTCGGAGCTTGTCCCAACTGTTACTAAAATTACTGATCACAAGTTGACTTGGGTAAATTATTTGGATTGGAGTAAAACCATTCGCCTCTATCTGCGGAGCATTGAGAAGGAAGACCATCTGACCGATGATCCTCCAACAACTGATTCCAAAAAGGCCTGGTTGCGAGATGATGCACGGCTATTTTTCCAGATCCGTAATTCCATTGACAGTGAGATTATTCCCTCTATTAATCACTGTGAATTGGTTAAGGAACTAATGGATTATTTAGATTTTTTGTATTCAAGAAAAGGAAATATCTCTCGTGTTTACGAGGTCTGCAAAGCTTTCTATCGTTCTGAAAAACAGGATCGTCCTCTCAAAGCCTACTTTATGGACTTTAAAAGGATGTATGAAGAACTGAATGTGTTAATGCCTTTTACTGCTGATTTGAAGGTTCAGCATAAGCAACGGGAGCAAATGGCTATTATGAGCTTTCTTACTGGTCTCTCACCTGAGTACGACACAGTTCGGTCTCAAATCTTATCCGGATCTGAGATTTCTGACCTTCAAGATGTGTTTTCCAGAGTAATGAGAGCTGAGAATCTCTTGCCACCAGCTACTAGTATTCCTACAAGTGCCTTGCTCAGTAAGGGCACCTATGAGACTCGTAGTCCCATTGATAACCGCGGGGGGCCTACTCGTGGTGGTTCCAAGCAAGGGGGAGCCCCTTCTGATTCCAGTGGGGTAGTGTGTTATTACTGCAAAGAACCGAGGCACACAAAACGCGCATGTCGAAAACTTCAGAATAAACAGCAACGGAATAACTCTGCCCACGTGGCTACACAAGCCAGTGTCCACGTGGCTACACAAGCCAGTGACACAGTCATGATTTCTGCTGCTGAGTATGCCCAGTTAAAATCTACTACGCCGTCTGTGAGTGCGGCAGCTACAACAGGTAATAATGCTACTGCCCTTGCTTCTTCTTCCTCAAAGTGGATCATAGATTCCGGGGCTACTGATCATATGACAGGTAACCGCCATCTGTTCTCCTCTTATAATGCTTTTGCCAATCCGTCAAGTGTTTCCATCGCTGATGGTTCCCAGTCTCAAGTTCTCGGTTCTGGCACTGTTAATCCCACACCCTCTATCCGTTTGTCATCTATGCTAAATGTCCCTAAACTTGCTTTTAATCTCCTATCTCCCAGTAAACTCACCCGTCAACTAAACTGTTGGGTCTCACTTTTTCCTTCTCATTGCTTGATACATGATCTTTTGACGAGACGGATTATTGGTAGAGGTTATGAATCTGGCAGGCACTATATATACTGGATGATCGGGTGTCTCATACGGTGGCTTGCGCTAGCAGTCATTCTCCCTTTGAAGTTCATTGTCGATTGGGTCATTTGTCTCTATCTACTCTTAAGAAAGTTTATCCTCAATTTCAGCATTTGTCGTCTTTAGATTGTGAGTCATGTCAGTTTGCCAAGCATCATCGTCTTCCTTTAGTGTCTCGTGTCAATAAACGGGTTTCATCCCCTTTTGAGTTAGTCCATTCTGATGTTTGGGGTCCTTGTCCTGTAGAGTCCAAAGTAGTATTTAAATACTTTGTTACATTTGTTGATGATTATTCCCGAACAACTTGGTTATATTTAATGAAACATCGTTTTGAACTGTTTTCTCATTTTTATGCCTTTTGTGCTGAGATTAAAACTCAATTTAATGTTTCTATTCGCACCTTACGAAGTGATAATACTAAAGAATATCTCTCTGCTTCATTCCAATCTTACATGCTTCAAAATGGTATACTTCATCAGTCATCTTGTGTCAATACACCAGCTCAAAATGGTGTTGCAGAAAGAAAAAATCGCCACCTACTTGAAGTAGCCTGTGCACTTTTGTTTCAAATGCAGGTTCCTAAACCATTTTGGGCTGACGCGGTCTCCACTGCATGATGCTTCCTTATTAATCGAATGCCTTCCTCTATTTTTGATGGTAACTCTCCTTTTTCTACCCTCTTTTCTTCTAAGCCTTTGTTCCCTATTGCTCCTAAGATATTTGGGTGTGTCTGTTTTGTGCGGGATGTACGTCCATCTATTTCAAAGTTAGACCCCAAGTCTCTTAAATGTGTCTTCCTTGGATACTCCCAGGTCCAAAAAGGTTATCGTTATTTCTCACCTACTCTCAATCGTTATTTAGTATCTGCAGATGTCACCTTTCAGGAGTCCACCCCATATTTCTCGTGTTCTTCCCCACCTGCTCCACCTGCGGAGGAGGATGACCTTTTAATGTACTCTGTCACTTCACCATCACCGTCGTCGCAAGCACCCGCTCCCACACTCGTTCAACCATTTGATCATGTGTATACATGACGGTCAAAGGAGATTACTACCGCCACGCTAGCTTCTATTCCTCCCTGGTTCGCCTCGCCCTCAGATCCTGAGTTGAGCAACACTGAACCTCATTCTGACCCTCACCCTGAGACACCTCCTGTTCCAGACCCGGATGCCTCTCTTGATCTACCCATTGCCCTTCATAAAGGTAAACGTACTTGTGCCCATCCTATTTCATTTTTTGTTTCATATGACCACTTGTCTCCTGTGTCCAGTTCCTTTGTTGCCTCCCTCAATACTATCTCTGTGCCCAGAACTATTCGTGAAGTCTTGGCCCACTCGGGTTGGCGTGCTGCAATGGAAGAGGAGATGGCAGCCCTTGATCGGGCTGGTACATGGACCCTAGTTGATTTACTGGCGGGTAAAAAGGCCATTGGATGTAAATGGGTGTTAACTCCGAAAACTAAGGCTGACGGCACACTTGACCGCCTTAAGGCTCGCCTTGTGGCTAAAGGTTATGCACAAACCTATGGCATTGACTATTCCGAAACCTTTTCTCCTGTTGTTAAGCTCTCATCTGTCCGTATGTTCATCTCTCTGGCTGCTACTTATGATTGGGATCTACATCAATTAGACATTAAAAATGCATTCTTACATGGTGATCTCCATGAAGAGGTCTATATGGAGCAACCACCTGGGTTCGTTGCTCAGGGGGAGCGTGGGAAAGTATGTCGTCTTAAGAGGCCCTTGTATGGTTTGAAGCAAATCCCTCGTGCATGGTTTGACCGGTTCAGTACTGTTGTACAGAAATTTGGCATGAGCCAAAGCAAGTGTGATCATTTTGTATTTTATCAAAGAACAGCGGCTGGCATGATTCTCTTGGTGGTATATGTCGATGACATTGTGATCACAGGCAGTAATGGTTCGGGCATCTCATCCCTCAAGTCCTTTCTTAATTCCCACTTTCAGACGAAGGATCTGGGCTCTTTGACATACTTTCTAGGTATTGAAGTTATGAGAAGCAAGAAGGGCATATTACTGACGCAGCGCAAATATGTTCTTGACCTACTAAAGGAAACTGGAAAGTTGGGAGCAGCACCGACCAATTTCCCTATGGTTCACAACCCACTCCTTGACGCTGATGGGAGCATACCACTTGATGACTCTCTTGATGATGAGAAACGGATGCTTGAGGCTCAAAAGAGCAAACCCTTTGAGAATCCTGAGAGGTACAGGAGAATGATTGGCAAGTTAAACTATCTCACGGTAACTCGCCCGGATATTACGTATTCAGTCAGAGTACTAAGCCAGTTCATGGCATCTCCGACTGTCAGACAGTGGGAAGCCTTGGAGCACGTGTTATATTATTTGAAGGGATGTCCAGGTTGTGGGATATTATACAAAAATCATGGTCATACAGACATTGAGTGCTTTTGTGATGCGGATCATGGTGGATCAAAGGCCACGAGACGGTCTACTACAGGATACTGTGTCTTTGTGGGCAGAAATCTGGTATCCTGGAAAAGCAAGAAACAAAATGTGGTGTCCCAATCGAGCGCAGAGGCCGAATACCGGGCTATGGCACAGTTTGTGTGAGATAATCTGGATATATCAGTTACTAACGGAGGTTGGCCTCAAAACTACTTTGCCAGCAAAGTTGTGGTGTGACAATAAGGCTGCCCTACATATAGCATCTAATTCTGTGTTCCATGAACGTACCAAACATATTGAGATTGATTGTCACTTTATCAAAGACAAGCTTAAAGAGAACTTCATCTCTACTAGATATGTGCGCTCTAGTGATCAATTAGGCGACCTTTTGACTAAGGCTCTAAATGGGACTTGTGTTGACTATTTGTGTGACAAGTTAGGCATGATTAACATCTATGCTCCAACTTGAGAGGGAGTGTAGAGATATGATATGATATTATGTAAATATTATGTAATTATGATTAGGATATGATATGATATGATATCATCATAATGAGCCATTAATGCAAAGGTTCCTCCTACTTGTATATATATGTGCATATTCTGAACAATAAAAAACAAGAGAATTATTTTCCATATTATTCTATTCTCTACAAAATTCACAGTCTATTCATGTTATATCAAGCAGATACACCGACTAACCAGTATGTCGGTCATTGACATTAATGATCATCTTATGAGCGGTTGACATGCATTTAAGTGTTAGAATATGAACATTATTCTTTCATATTTAAAATGTGTGGGGAAATTTTTCATATAAACCAAACGAGAAAAATTTTCATTTAAAATGCTTATAATAGAACAAACATTACAGAATTTTGTTATATGCCTACTTTTGTAGGAAAAATTTTCTCAGAGGACTTATATTTTGACAGAAAAATGGAGCCTTAATGTCAGATTTTGCATTGTGTTGCCTTCTGAAAATATTCTTACAAACTTCTGTTAGCTTTTATCTTGGAGGATCAAGGGAAATGCTGGATTCTCCGTTTCTGATTATTGTATAACAGTACAAAAATTCTAGATATTCACATATTCTATTGCAAGAAATGAACAATCTAAATTGTTGTAATATATGTGGCCTGTGTTTTTATAATCATATTTTGTAAAAGTGCGGAATTTTTGGGATAGAAGTGTATTTTTCATTCATTTGAATTGTAAGATGCATCCAAAAATATATACAAAAGGAAAAGACAAGCGAATTGAGGCTAATAAATGCTATCCTTATAGAATATTTACAATAAAACAAATGTATACCCACAAAAAGCTTCAACCAAATTTTTTGCTTTACTTAAATTTTCTACAACATATCCAATTCCTTTTATTTAATTTGCAAAACAGAAATGTAACATTTGTTTGGTCAGAGTATATTTAGCCTCCCTTTTGTTTTGATACGTTATTGGTATTAATGTATGTAGTATGTTTTTAATTCGATATAGTTTTCCAATTTATTTATGATGTGTAGGAATTATGCATTTTGTTGGATGACTACTGGGATCGCATGAATTTGAAAGTTCCTATATATTTTTCAGCAGGTTCCACTTTTCTTTCTTTTTACTTATTGAGGACATGAAAATCCTCCAAATATGAAAATTGATGATAACTTTATTTCAAAATGCCTATTATCATGCACTGCATGCCTGTGTCAAAACTGTGCAACGTATTGTGTTAAAGACTAAGATTATGGTAATGCATTACAAATAATTTCTGCTGCTTCTTGACCTGTCTATCTTCCCTGTGGTGTTTCTCCAGATATTTGTCGGCAGATTCTTCATATTGAAAGTTTAGAACTAATTATTTGAATTTGTTTTCTTGAAGGTTTGACAATCCAAGCCAATATGTACTATAAGATGCTCATTAGTTGGACAAGCCAGAAGATAAAAGACTCGTATTCTACCCATAATGCATTTGATTTTAAAAATGGTAATTTATTTCTTGATTTTGTCTCAGAAGCATCAAAATTGTATCTGGTAGCAGTGATACATGCATGTGATTGATTATAAAAAAATATAAGCATGCGTGCATGTTTTCATCTGTGCATGCAGTGTTTTTTAACAATTATATTGTATTGCGATGTTGTGATTCCAGGTTCTTGGCATTGTTGCCTTGCTATGGTTAGAGATTACAGTACCTTGTATCTAATTAGACATGTTTTTGTGTGTGTTATACGGATATTAGGAATGAGCTGCACTTCTTATGGCTTTATAATAATGCAACTTATTTGAGATTTTATACTACATGGGATTTTAATAATGCACGCTAGTGTCATAAGGCTTGTTGTTATCATTGCCATTGTAGTATTTTGGTATTGATAAGTATGAGACTTTTAGAATTTATGTGAATAAATTATTTTGGTATTTGATTAAGGTGTTTTAGATGAAGAGCCAAATTTTCTCAGATTGAAGAAGAATGGAGGTTTCAGGTCTGATCACTTTCATAAATCACAATGAAAATGGTAAGAAGAAATATGGGTTAACGGATTAAAACTTTACGTGGTATGAGAAATAGGAGTGCACAGAGTCGAAGGAACATGTCATATTATTCGTAGCTTATGAATAGTATGGTTTGCTATAGATTTTATGTTATATATTCATCGATATACTGATATTGCTGCTTTGAACCAAGGAAGAGACGAGCCCTTGAATTGTAATTGGGAAAGAGAGAGAAAGTGTGAGGAAAAGGGGAAGAGTAGAGAGATGAGAGGGAGGAACAAAGAACAAGAGGAAAAAGGAAACTCATTCTTCATCATAAGTCCAGATACCCCTATTACAACAACCCTTACACCTTATATAGCCATCGGCTTACTAATATCCTGATGGCCTATTAATCCCCTTTACTGACTACCCAACTAATTTCCTGACTACCCCTATTCTTATTACAATTACATAATACTTTATTCTCTCAAAAATTGTGACTTAATGTCAATGAAATAAGAGTGAGGCCCAACAGCCCTTATTCTCCTAAAGATTAAATGCTTTGATTGCAAAAGGCAGGGAATGAAACATAAGATTAGAAAAGGAAATAAAAATGTCTGGTTTTTACCAGAATATTGGAAAACACCCAGTTAATTGCATTTAAATCGTCAAGAATTCAAATTTTAATGAATTGGCCTTTCAAGTGGAGTTGTTAGTGATACAAGAATAAGAAGGTACTCAGTGGCGGAAAATAAGCAGAACAAATGTTTCACGTTTTAGCTATGTCATCTATGTTGTTGTTGTTGCTGTGTATGTTTCATTTTCATGGTGCTTGTTCTTCAAGGAGTCATTGTTTCCCTTGATCGATAAATAACTGACATTCTATTCTTTGCCAGTCATGTGTGTTTTTCATGTGCAATGCTAATCTTATTTCTCAATCATTGTCATCAAATTCTTCAGGTCTGGCCACGAGGCCTTGACAGTCTCGTAGCAACTGGGTATTCAGCCTGTAATATCATGTGAAAATGTTTAAAGTTGTGCTCCATATCAATTAACTACGTTCAACTACTATAAAACATTTTGTATTGTTACATATATCATCCCATATGACATCTATGGTATAACATGTGTGAGGTTATGCTTGGTTTTGTGGACTATATCACCCATTAAGTTCTCACTCATTTGATCTGGATGTTGCAGTTCACAATTTTGAACGGTCTATGATAAATGATCCTGGTCCTTGTGTTCTTTTTGCCACCCCTGGGATGATAAGTGGTGGGTTTTCACTTGAAGTATTTAAGCATTGGGCACCTTCAGAGAAGAACCTTGTCACATTGCCTGGGTAAATCCCATTTCCTCCTTTATTTTGGTCGTCTTTTTGTTTTAATACTTTTTATTTCTTATTTAACAAACAAAATAGAAACAATTGTGAGCCATATTATTTATTCTTTCCTTCGTATATTTTTTTTAGATAAATGCAAAATGATATTAATAAAACCAAAGGGTTACAGTTTATAAGCTATAACTGGAAAAAGGCAAATAAGAACCTATAGCAATAAAGGTTCTTTTGTCTAACTTGCCAAAAGAAATAGGATTAAAGAAAGATTAAAAAAAAGTATACAATATTATTGATGATATTGTTGGAAGTGTGCGTTCTGAATGTCCTTGAGCTGAGCACCTTTTCTTCCTATATGATGCAATGATATAACACATTGGATGTTTAAGCTATTTCTTCTCATGGTGCGTAAAAAGTAGGACACAGGAAACTGTCACACAAATTTAAATCCTAAAATGATGAGACTCAAGCTCTATTATCATTATCACATATTCACATAGCATGGTCCATTCATTGTATGTCTGCCATTTCAGTTTGCCAAAAAAAGTCTCTGAAGAAATACTTAAAAAGGAATCAGACACATCATGCTATTTGAAATGAGAGCCATCTACTTGGAATGTTGAGCTTCTTCAGTTTAAAAACATTTACGATAACAACAAGCCTTATCCAATAGACAGGGACGGCAACATGGATTGCACTGTGCCATTGTGCTTCATGTCATAAAGATTCAACAAAGTTTTATATTGGCTGTTGAGAGTCTAATACAACCCTCCTCCTTTACTTGAGCTTAGAACTGGCTATAAAGCATAGGCCACCATTAATGTATAGGTCCCAAAAGGAAAATTAAAAACGCATAAACGTCTTAATTTTGATATTCTATGATGGGATTGCTTTCCATTAATCAATTGCTTCGTTTCTCTTGTAGGTATTGTGTTGCTGGAACAATAGGACATAAGTTGATGTCAGGTAAGCCCACCAAAATTGACCTGGATCAAGATACCCAAATAGATGTGCGTTGCCAGGTACTTGGTTATCTCCTACCCAACTTTCCTTTTGGAAGATGTATCTTTTTCGACAGTACTCCAGTAAGGGATATTTATGTAATTGTGCAACACTACTCAATATCATTCCACTGAAACTGATCGATACATATAGAGGGAGAGCAGTCAATTAAATCGCATAGAATCCTCTCTCACTAATTGACAAAATAAATCAAAGATATTATTAAAGATAGAGATAACAAGCTGCTGAATGCTAAAACTAGAGTTACAGAGTAAACCCAATAGGAAAAAGCCCACTTTCATCCCTTCCTTTAAACTGGCGAATAGATGTTGATGATTCCAAACTTGTTAATGAACTCATCAAACTTAGTTCCGACAAGAGGTATGGTTATCATATCCACAACTTGCTTTCCTGATGAGACGTAGGTACGTTCTATCACCTGATCTTCAATTTTCTTCTTAATAAAAAGTCAATCAATTCCAACATGCTTCCTGCAATCATGTTGTACAGGGTTATTTGCAATCTTGAGGGCAACCATACTAGAAACATCACATCTTATTTGGTGCAACCATTTCTATACCAAGTTCTTTCAACAAGCGCACAACCCATACCCTTTTACAAATTCCGAGAGTCAATTCTCTATATTCGGATTCTGCAGAGCTTCTTGACACTGCTGGCTAATTCTTAATCCTCCAAGTCACATTAGCCTGAACAAAAGTGCAGTACACTGTGGTAGAGCACCTATCATCAATTGCATCCGCCTAATCAATATTAGTGTATATCTCTACGATTCCCTGTGGTTGGTGACTTGGTGTCATTTTGTTCACATCTGTGTAAACCTCTACACTCAATTGCATCCCTTGCCTAGAGTCGTCTTGAGGTATCTAAGGATCCGATATGCAGCTTCCATATGTTTCTTTTGAGGATTGCTTCCAAACTGGCTTACGACGCCCACTGCAAAAGATATACTGGCCTTGTGTGGGATAAATAGATCAACTTTTCACCAATTTCTGGTACCTCTTCTTATTAGCACATTTTCTGTCTGGTTTTCTTCCATTTTACAATTAAGTTCCATCAGGATTTTTTCAGATCTAGCCCCCAAAATTCATCAATATCCAATTATGGAAACTACTTGGCCATATATTGAATTAAAACAGGAAATATAATGCTAATCCTATAAGGGGTAAGATGCTCAAACGATCCAAACAAAATCCCCAACATTTATAACCTACGGAAAATTATTCCTAATTTCCTGACTGCAAATTGCAAGTCCCGAACTTACTAAACCTTCTTGTCACCTTATAAATTCTTATTTATCAATTTGACATTTGAAATCACATCATTTTTGGTCATGTGTCTTTGGTTATTTATCTCTGATAAATAGAATGGAATCTATGCTAGTAATTTAATTTATGCTCTAAATACTCGTACTTACAATTTCTCATTAAATTGACAGGTTCATCAACTGGCTTTTAGTCCTCACACTGACGCTAAAGGTATAATGGACCTCATAAAATTTCTCTCCCCCAAGCATGTTATGCTAGTCCATGGCGAGAAGCCTAAGATGGCTTCTCTTAAAGAAAAAATTCATTCTGAGTTGGGGATTCAGTGTTATTACCCTGCAAATAATGAAACTGTATGCATCCCTTCATGTCACTATGTAAAAGCAGGAGCCTCTGACACTTTTATTCAAAGTTGCCAAAATCCAAACTTCAAGTTTCAGAAATGTTGTTCATCAGGAGCCCCTGGCACTTCTATTCAAAGTAACCAAAATCCAGACTCCAAGCTTCAGAATTGCAGTTCAGTAGCTGCGTCTAACTCATGTTTGATAGACAGAAGCCTAAGACCTCATCTCCAAGTTAAGGATCAAAGAGTAGCAGAAGGAATTTTAGTATTAGAGAAAAGCAAAAAAGCAAAGGTTGTACACCAGGACGAGCTTTTACACAATGTGGGAGAAAAGAAACATGATATTCGGTTTGCTTATTGTTGTCCTGTTCGTGTCAGTGATTCAGTAGATATCTTGAGTAAAAGCGACAGAGACTCTTGCCTTCAAATCTTACATTCAAAGCTTAATGGTGAACTATCTGGAGGAAACATCCAAAATTTTGGGGAAAATCTGCAAATGGACTCATTTCATGTCTCTGTCTGTCTAAAGGATCATTGTCCATATAGGATTCAGGAAACCTCCCTGAGTGAAACTCAAGCTGTGTATTTTTGCTGCTTTTGGGAAGCAGCAGATGAAAAGCCTGCATGGAGAATATTATCAACGATGGAGAATTTGGATTTGAGAGAAACATAGAGTGGCAGTAGGTTTACAGTTCATGTAAGCCTGAACACAACCACATGAGTTATGACAATTTAGATTTTCCTCACACACACACACACACACACACACACACACACACACACACACACACACACACACACACACACTCCACTCCACTCCACTCCACTCCACTCCACTCCACTCTTCGTTTTTAGTCATTTTTCCTTGAATTTATGGTGCTAAATACTTGAGGATAATACCAATTTTTAAACTTAGATATAAGAAAATTGTCGGATAACCATTATAAAAGGTTGAGGAAATGAGCATTTTATTCCCTTCATCATACCAAATAGAATATTACAAACCTTGTTTGTAAAGTTTGAAGCGATTAACAACAGTAATTCGGTAAAATTGATGTAAAGAAATATCTTAACTCCAATAATAACACTCCACTCCACTCCACTCCACTCCACTCCACTCTTCCTTGAATTTATGGTGCTAAATACTTGAGGATAATGCCAATTTTTAAACTTAGATATAAGAAAATTGTCGGATAACCATTATAAAAGGTTGAGGAAATGAGCATTTTATTCCCTTCATCATACCAAATAGAATATTACAAACCTTGTTTGTAAAGTTTGAAGCGATTAACAACAGTAATTCGGTAAAATTGATGTAAAGAAATATCTTAACTCCAATAATAACACTCAGATACAAGCATAATAGCAGGACGTCGATAGCCTTCTCATTGAACTGCTCATATTAAAAATACCAATAAGTTAAAAATAAAGGAGGGGAAAGGACGGGGGGCATGGAGGCATGCTGCCATGGTATTATATATAAATACACAAACATTAAAAAAAAATTATCCTTCATGGCACTGTTCATGAATCATTTAGGTTACCATCCCATTTGATGAATTGATTCTCACCCCTTTGTCTCGATGCCGTATTATTAAGACACCAAGTTTTGTCTGAATTTAGTATTTCAAACTTCTCTTTGAAATTCTCAATTTTTTCCGAAACATTATTGAGAGCGTTTTGAACAAACTAGTCACAATATAACGTAAAAAATGAGTAAGAATCAGAGGGCCATTATTCAGCTTTCCACATTGCATTGCCTTGACATCACGAAACGTCCAGATGTTTCAGCATCTCTTCTTCATGAGTTAAGCTTCAGAACAAATTCACCAACAATGAAATTTTGGAGGCCAGAGTCAACATGTGAGCCTTCAAATCGTTCCCATTAGGCGGCGTACCAGATCAGCATGCAATGCATGGCCCGCCTACGTCAAACGTTAAAACTTAAAGCTCATTAGTACATAAAATAAAGTGCAAAATACAAAAGCCTCTTGCTTGTATTTTTTTAACCGTTAGTATCATTTCTCTTTTAATTTCTAAAACCTACAGAGACCTACGATTATATGAAAAATTGCATTACACAAATCTTACCTCTATTTTCAAAACTAATGTCTCGCAGATTCTGGAAAATAAATAGCACTATTCATGGCTAATGGTGCAGCATAACAACTAACCAAATCGTTTCAAGGCATGCTCAAATGTCAAATCCTCAAACAAGAAATAAAGACACTTGCCTTGTAAGCTACAACGTGTGCCACTGGGACCCCTTGATTCCCAAACTGAGCAAAAAGGGAAAGATCTCCTATAAGATCTAGGACCTTATGGCGACATGGTTCATCATCGAAACGCAAAGGTGGATTTAACCAACCATTATGGGCACTGCACAATAGATATTACTTTATTCATATAATGAATAGCAGCAACAAATGATATGCGTATAACCACATAACTTTTCTCCTTAATCATTCAGACCCCATAGAACCTCTGGTTCCCCATGCAGTACAAGGCTTTGCCCTAATTCATTTAGATAGCATATTTTTGCACCAAAGTTCTATGCATATTCTAGCCCGATCTACAAATTCAATGTCATCAATTTCATCTTAGGTCTACCACCTCCATCAGATGTGTATAGTCCACCAAAACCATATTTTTAGTTTCCACAAACGAAATAGTATAATCTTTCAAAAAAACATATGATTGTACTTAGTATTTCTGATCCAGAGGTTCAGAAGAGGAAAGTTAGCATGCAATTTCCTGCTTTAGTATCACAGGCTAGGAACCCAGTTTACAGCAAGCATACATCACTAGAATAAAGCAAACTTAGATGTTATCTTACAGACTGTAGAAAAGCAGCTACCTGCAAACAATGGCATTTTCTAGACTACCCCCTTTAATCAGTCCAGCATTGCGCATTTGTTCAATCTGCGAGATATTTTCAGTCAAACCAGTCGGCATTACACTATTAGTTGTACATTACTCCGCGTTTACAGTAAAACACGTGAAACAACAGGCAACATTCAAACTTGCAGAATGATTTGCAAGTCATATAGCAACGTAGAAGATTTGTCAACTGGCCCTACATCATGCAATGCAAAGGAATTCAGTCCCTTTGATTATAAATCTATCAGCAGCAAATTGTATTTTCTTGCTATATGCTTCTGAAAAAGTACAAACCAAAATTTTTCTGTATAAATACTGAGGATTGAGGTTCTTCCGTATAAGTTTATTTATTTGTTTCCTTACCCAAAAAAATAGTTTATTTATCTGCTTAGATCTGATCAAACTGCCATAAATTGTTCAAGTACTATGGACAGGTGATGTCTTAAATTAAATACTTTTTCTGCTAATCATTTAGGCAACGAAAGAAGCTAATAACTAGACTAGAAATAGTAGAACTTCAGATCAAACCTCCTCATGAATGCAGAAGGTTCTCGACAAAGCTATCTGTTTGGAATAAAGTAACTTATCCAAAGGGGTTGAAAACCACTGCAATCCAATAGCACTTGCCTGCCATATGAAGATATTTCCCCATTGGTCAATGCCTGAGTAAGATTGATGGACAAATACCACATTCCACTGCTTTGTCCTATTCCAAATTTGTAATGAGAGCTAGTTTTTTAACGATTGATTAATTAAGGCACACAACTGGGATATACTTAAAAAGCTTGTAGTATCATTAAATCTGAGGTTGGACAAATAACATGTTTTTAGACATGAAAAAGAAGTAGAACTTGCAGCTTCTAGCCTATTTTTTAAGACCATAAAGTAGGCAATGTTCATCGAATAACACGTGGCCCTTGTAATTTCACCCTTTAACATGTAAATCTTCCCAAAAATATAAATAATGCTATGGAAGGAACAAGCAATAAAAGTTTACTTCGTCATTGCTTGCTTTCACCAAGTACTCTAATAAGTTATGTACTTCAATGCCATAAAAGTAAATAGTGAGATCTAGATGAGAAGAAGCAACATGAAATGTTCTTCAATGTACAAATGCATCAAATTCAGTCCTCTCTTTAGATCATTATCATAGTGAACTAAGGCAACATAAAAACTGTCAAGTGCTGGATGAAATTACATGTTCACTCAACACAATAATTGCACCAGAATTGCAAAAAGTAATTCATGATGACAATTAAATTAAATAGACAAAATACAACCGTAGGACCCACTTTTGTTAAGCCCAAATAAAAATTTAATATATAGTTCAGCTTATTTGCTTGAGGCACTGATATTGTCAATTTCATGTATCAATCTATCTTTACCTGAGGAAAGTTAATTCCATATGTTATTTGAACCATTGTTGAAGGAAATGCAGCAACAAAAGAATCATTCCTGAAAACGTACATTGGTTCATTCAGATGTGGAGCTAATTTTTCACAACTATTGCCGTGGTGATCAGTTGCCACCTTTAAGCCAACTTCTTCCACCGCTGCTACCCATTCACTAGCTGACCCATCAAATATGGGGATCTGCATGAACAATTGCGAAATGATCAATTTTCTAAGTTATGTTATAACTAGGTTATTTAAATTGCAAGTTTATATCAGTAATACACTCACCTTAATTTATTTATTTATTTTTTTTAACCAGAAACCAAGGAGGGGTAAATTAAAACAGAGGGGAATAAGACATTCTCCAAAAAATGAACTCACCTCAAAAACTGAATCTTAAGGATAATAAAGCCCAAGAAAGGACTTGTTTCTCCAATTACCCATTATCTTTTTTTTTTTGGGGGGGGGGGGTTTAAATTTGCCAACAGTCTTGGAACCTTTTTTTTTTTTTTTTTGGCTTCAAGTCTTAGAACATGTTTGGTTTCAAGCGAAAAAGCATCAAAACCATAGTTTTGGTGGAAGAAAGTAACTACTGCTTTTTACCAAAACTTTGGGTTCGGTGGCTTCCAACATGAAACCAAACAAACACTTAGCCTTTCTCTTTCACAGGGATGAAGCAAATTGATGCACTATGGATATAGCTTTTGACGAGCAGACAGAAAATTAGTTCCAGGAAAAGTAAAAATCACACTTCTAGCATTTCAAAAACCTGAAACCTCATATCAATAGTATTATGAAGTAAGTCTATTTTAAGGCCAAACTATGTTAAACCTGACAATCTGTCAAAAGAAAAGGAAAAAATCTGTTGAGATACTATGATTTCAACAAGAGACGCTCTTAAATTGTTTTTCTACGGTTTGATCGATGTTCGATATTTTGTATTATATTGACATTTAAAGACCGCATTTACTCATACGTTCTTTTAAGCTACTTTTTCCCTGGAAGATTGGACAATGACTGATGCCAAATTCTGAGTTACGTTGTTTATTTATCATGTATTTCCAATGAATATATTCCATGTAGAACGCAAAGTATTCACGTTTCAATCAACTAAATGCTTATGAGTAAAACTCGCTTTTGACAACCTCAGACAAAATGTTGATGGCCAGGTTGTCTTGATACTCATGACATGGCAAACATTAACATCAGACATGAAGCATGCTGGAATAACGGACTGATGCTCAGAAATGCAAAGGCTTGAGGTTCTTGTATTTAAAAAATAAAAAATGTATATGATATATATTTAAAATTTTTCCAGGTTTGATGTGCATACATGGGAATACATTGTATCAGAGACTTTCAGTTTTGATAGTTGATGTTGTCCTGCCAGTAAACACGTTATTGCAGGAAACATGAGTCTAAATGAACATTCAAAATTTAAAAATCAACGAGATTTGACATTTGACAAACTCACCTCAGCACAATCTCCTCCAGAATCCACATTTTCTATCTCAATTCTGCAATTATCAACACCAGTCGCCTCCAAAGCAGAAAGCAAGTGCTCAACAGTTCGTACTCTGAAACCATCTTTGCACAATGTGGTGCAGAGAGGTGACTGGTGAGCAAAATCAATCGACGCTGGTATCGAATTGGACCGGAAATCGAAATACCTCCCTTCTCCTACAAATCCAGGACCGAGTTTGACTACTGAAGCCTTCCCAGAGTGTAAAGTGTTACCTCGCCGCTCTACACAACCTGCTAGGGTTTGCTGAAGCCTGCCAGTCTGCGGTCAAAGATGAAGGCATGAATTAAACTAAATTAAGTTCGATAGACGTAAATAAATAAAACCGAAAAAATGGCTTAGTATGTCGAACAGTGCCGTCTCCAACATTTGGCATTCATTTAACGGAAGTATATAAACATAATACAGAGAGATGCAGCTTGCAAAAGGCAATTTAGCTTGGATGTAACTGAATTTTCTCGGAAACCAAACAGCGAGGAAAGAAGTGAAGAGAGAAAGAACGTACCGGTTTCCATGAGATGAGCTTTGAAGATCTCAGAGCACGGAAAGCAACCATGCTCAGAGAAAGCGAGTCTAGTTCGGAGTAGCAGCAGGACCGGAGGAGACCATAGGGCAACGTATCCACAGAAGCAAGGTAGACTGGTTTTGGCGGGATAGAGCAGACCACGAACACGGAGGGCCGTTGCTTCGCGGCAAAAACCACCAAATTGAAATAGCTGGGCATTTGGGAATTCTCTACCACCAATAGGGTGTGCATGGACCACGGACGGGTTTGTTGTCAACTCGAAGTCTGGTCTAATAAAGATCTTGGGCTGAAAATGACAGCTCGAGGTCTGGTCCAATCCAATATCAACTTGAGGTCGGGTTGGACTAGACTTAGTTTTCTGGACTGCCTGGACCAGTCCAAACAGTCTAGGACCTAAATTTATTTTTTTAAAATTTTTTCTTTCAATAGGAGACAGATTGTAACTTACTATATAAAATTTTGTACATATTTTAATCCAAAGTTCATCAAATTTAATCATTCTCTTTTAATTTCCCAATAATGTCATGTTTTATTAATTAATCCTCATTAATATAGATCTTATATTGTAGAAAATATATACGCATGCTCATTACTTAGGAAGTTAATAAATAAATCTTGATTATTTGAATAGACAAAAAATTTATATATAGAAAAATTAAACCAAATTAAAATTATATAAACAATAATTAAAAAAAATCGGACTAGACTGGACTGGACTAACTAGTTTGAGGGGCTAGTCCTTAGTCCAGTCCAGCCCGATGAGACTAGTCCGATCCAATCTGGTCCAGTCTTGTTTCAGGTTAATGTTTTCTGGACCGGACTGGACTGGATTTGCTCGGGTTGGACCGGACCATACCAGACCACCGGGTTTTTGCACAGCCCTACACCAACGCTTAACGCCACGACTTTGAAACCCTTGGAATGTGGGCTTCCCACATGGGCTTGGGCTCATTATTTTCTCATATATGGGCTTACATTGCTGAAGCCCAGTGTATAAAATATGGGCTTACAAGTCAGACTGCAGACCTTATCTTTTTTTTTTTTAATTCTTTTTCTAGAGTTACGATGTAGATTTGTTAAAAAAACTTTATACTCTGCCCCTTGTCTGTGGGTTCAGCTAGCGAAGGGGTCAGACTCTCTCACTAAAAGAAGGAGGTTTGATCCTGGGGAGTGTCACTTTATTGTGGCTATAGTCGCGATGTTGGGCAGGCATCACTACAACATGGTAAAACGGGAAAATTCCTATCCATCGGGCCAAGAAAAAAGGACTTGCTTGTTATGTTCCCGTGCCTGTAGGGACAGGACCTAGTCGATCAAACGTTAGGTGTCCTGTTCTTAGATCATGGGTGAACCCAATCCCTTTCTTAAAAATTTATTACAAAAAAAAAAACTTTATATTCAAGAATACTAAGCACCTGAAAGCTTTTTTTTTATTATAAATTTATTCTAAAATTTTAAAATCATAGCTTCTTATTATTAAAAATTTTAACAGTCAACATTATTTTTTTTAATAATGTTTACCCGGCACATATCTCATCAAAAATTTATCATTTAATTTGAAGGTAATAAAAGATAAATACATGCTACGAATAGTAATAATGTCATACGTCTTACCTGTAAGTTTTACAGGAATAAGATACAGCATTGTATACTTATCATCATCATCCTTTTAGACAAGGTCAGTTTTAAAAAACATTAAATTAACCTCGATAGTCAATATTTAAAGAAAGAATAAACTCTTTTGTCCGTGGAGTACAGTACACTTCTTATACTGATTAAAAATTAAATTAAATTAAATCGAGGATGATAAGAAAGAAAGACGTATCCAAATGGGTATTTGTAAAGTTGGCTACCATATTCAAATGAGACGGCTTCTGTATTAGCGCCTTCAATTTTGAACCAAAAGAAAGGGGGACCAAAGAAAGATTTGTGGATTTGCCTGGTCACTGAAAAATGAAAATGGTCCCCGGTTTTGTTCCTTCTTTTTTCACTTTCTCAACGAAGGAGATTTAGACCGATTTTTCTCAGTCTTTGATATAATGATCAAATTTAGGTCCTTGTCTCGTTCATGAATCACACTTGAAATTCTGTTATTTTATTGGCATGGTCGGTCGTTAGAGTCAAAAAAGTTTTTATTCTTTTATCCTCCCTTTTTGTATATTTATCTAGTACTACAACTTTAGTACCTTGACATATTTAACCTTCCAGTGAATTGAAATCGCCGGTTTATTTTGCTTGGCTCTTCTTTTGTTTTTCAATTTAGTTTTTTTTTTTTAGGATACTTTAGACAATTTGGTTTTGGGTCTGATAAAACTCATAAACATAAATAAACCCAACCAAACCAAAATTATTAGTTTTTTTATAAAAAATTTTGGATCTATAATGGCATCGAACATTAGATAATAAATTAATCTTATTTCTTATTTCACTTTTGTAATTTTTTTATCATGCTAATGGGATTCTAATTTTCCCTCTCTGTTTTTTTTTCCCCTTTTTTACTTGCAGTTAGAATATGTTTTAATTTCTTAAATCCAATAATTATTATGGATTTTTTTAATACATTACTGTTGATTCTGCCTATTGTTATGCATATAAAGATACATAGATATATTTTTTCTGGAAGACAAAAAATCCATATACCTTTCTATATATAAAATGTTAAAAATGCATTATTTATGAATATTGAATAATATGATTAATCTTGAATCATACGTAAAAACATACAATCTGTAATCGAACGGGTTTCTGCTAAAAAGAAACTTGCATGCAAATGTGAAAAATAACTCGTCACCTAACTGGATCCTTGCCTCCTCATTTTATCAAGAAAAAGATAATGTTCAGTTCACCTGGTTTTTATTTCCTCCAGCTGCTCTTTTTTTTTTTAATTAATGTTCACTTCACTTGGTTTTTATTTGAGAACTAACATGTTTTTTACCTTTCTATTCCGTTTTACTATTCACTTATTATTATTATTATTATTATTATTATTATTATTATTATTATTGTCATTATCACTATTTTAAGAAAAAAGAAACGTGAGGAAATTAAAACACCAATGTATATTAATTTATTAAAAGTTATGTTGTTCATATGTCATTAATAATATCCATTACCTTGAATTTTATACAGAGAATAGTCCCATTATAGTTCAATGAATTTTTCGTGCCCATACATTCGTATGTGCGTGTTTTATCCCCCCCCCCCAAAAAAAAAAGATTCTTTATGAGGTTTTGGTTTCATTATTGTTGTTTAGTTTTAGCAATATAAGCCAATGCCCACAAATCATCTTAATTATGCATGGATTTACATGTATTTGATTTATTTGTAATGCTCTAAAATTTAATTTCTTTGTTTTTGTGAGAACAAATAATTCTATGATTCTGGTGAAAGACGATAAGATATTTATGAGTTAACTTTTTTTATAATGTTCTATAAGCCAACTTTGAATAAGATATATTTTCCGAATTTGGGTATCCTCTTTTAAAGAAATAACTTAAAAAAAGAAAAATTTAATAAAAAATTAATATAACTCTCAAATATAAAAAGGTATAGAAATTATATTTAGGAATAACTTGCATATTATAAAACAAATTAGCGTATTTATCAGTCAAATATAATAATTTATGTTTATAAGTTAAATTTCAATATTTACGGATGTCAAGTTATGTTATTTACGCGTCAAATTCGTAAAATATATTATTTTTGAAATCTGTTTATATTTAATTTTCTTACATATTTTTTTCCGACAAATCAATTCGTGTTTTTCATTACAAACTCACAATTATTTCACCAGCAATTCTAGAAAATAATTGTAATCATACATGAACTTAATTTGTATTGGTTCAAAAGATTTAGAACAGTACTACCTCCGATCATAACTATAAGATTTTGTTTGTAAACTATTACCTCCGGTCCTATTATAAGAGCTAGTTGACTAATTTGAGGAAATTAAGAAAAGAAGTTAAGTTAGTTATTTGTAATAAATATGTGTTGTCTTTCCTAAAATATCTTTACTAATCAAGTGTATTAGTTATAACTATTATTGTTAGAAAGACTATCTTGAAAAAAATGTATAAATATGAGAGACAAAGTGGATTAGAGTCTTATATTTAAGACTAAAATAAAAGTCAAACAAGGTCTTATATTAAAGACCAGAAGTAATATAAATAAAGTCTTATAATTAATATCAAAAGTAGTAGTAAATAAGACACTACTAGTTCATGGAAAATGGTGTGTCCTTTTGTGGCATGTTCATTAAAATAGACATTTTCTTCGCAAATTTTTTATCTAAATATCTCTTAAAATAGAAGGACATTTTTACATCCTTGATTATATTAACTTTTTGAACAAGGGATCAAAGTTGACGAGAAAAATTGGATTGTTGCTCATTTTGTTTGGTTTCCTTACAATTCTCATTTAAAAAACATAAAAAAAAACATATCATCAACTCAAAAGATGTTTATGTATTTTTAAGACATTTTAATCCAAGGGAGTATAGATTCTTAGAAAGTTAACTTTTATTAAATTTATTTTCTAAAATATGAACTTAGCTAGTAAAATTTGATAGACTAAAACAATTATTATATTGGCAGACACAATATTTATATTTTTTAATGAATTATTGTATTAAATGAAAAATTAAAGCAAATTACTTGAAAAATCAGCATGAGCCTAGATTCTTGCGGAAATTTTTTAAAGGAGTTTATTTGAAATGTTGCCTGATTTAAGTATATTTTTTAAATGAATAGTTTAAATATATTTAGATGAAAAGAACATAAAATAAAAAAATACTTACTACTCTAATATAAGAAAATTATACAAAAATTTCAACAAACTCCGATTTAACCACTTATATTGCAAGTCAAATTTATTAAAAAAATTAATTTTTTGGCATTTCTTTATATTTAGCTTTTTACATGGCAAATGGGAAATGCTCCTACAATTTAATTATTTTTTCAAATATCTTCTTTTCTTGATGTGTATATGTAATCTGCATATGCGGCCAATTCAACTATATTATGGTTCAAAGTGCTCATTTCTTTGTCAATAGTACAAACAGCAAATGAGATATCTTCTTAATAAAATAAACTAAAATCATAATAAGAATTAAGGCGAATAAATTCAGCTCTCTTCCTAGAATATTGAGTTTCAATTTCAATTAATATCTTAGAAGTGCAGTAGTAATAATCTTTTTAAGGACATTATTAGTAAACCTGACTATTAGTTTATGAAGAGTAATACTTTTTTTTTTTAAGGCGCATTCATAAAAAATATATCTTGTACGTTAACTTAAACTTCTCTTAAAATAAAAAGACATTTTTGTATTCTTAATTATTTTAACTCTTAGAATAAGAGATCGAAGTTGACAAAAAAAGCTAGATTATTTCTTGTTTGGTTTGGTCTCCTCTTAAATTTATGAACACAGTTCTCGTTGAAAAAAAAAAAAAATCAACAACTCAAAGACGTTTATAGTTTTAGGATATTTAAATATAAAGGAATATAAATTTTTAGACCGTAAATTTTTGATAAAATTCATGTTCTAAAATATGAACTTACCTGGTGACAGATAAACTAAGTAAAGCAATTGTTAAATTGAGAGACACAATATCTTCATTTTTTAATGAATTATTATATTAAATTAAAATTTTAAATAAATTACTCGAAAAATGAGCATGAGCCTAGATTCTCGCGGACAAGTTTTTCATGGAATTTATTTGAAATGTTGCCTACTTATTACAATACAAATTTATGTATTTATAAGTTAACTTTAACTACTTATATTTACTTATAAATTAAGCATTGTTTGGATATTTACAAGTGTCAGGTTATTTTACTTACAAGTCAAATTTATAAAAAAATGAATTTTTGAAATTTCTTTTCTTCCTTTTAATGTCTTCTTCTTTTTTATTTTATTTTATTTTATGTGAAGGTATATCCTCGTGCTTTTTTGGGCTCTTTTTATGAAAAAAGCCGCAAGGATATATCTGTAATTTCATTATATCGCCAGTATCATGTCGCCAGTTTCAACTCAGACCTGAGCTCCAATTTGATAGAAAGCTGAAGCTATAGAAATACATAGGACTATATTATAGCCCCAGGGTTCTCATTTCTGTGTCAATAGTACAAACGACAAATGAGACATCAGCGTATAATAAAATCAAATCAAATCATTATAACGATTAAGGCGAACAAATTTGGTTCTCTGCTGGAAAATTAGGTTTCAATTCCAATTACTCCTTTCAGTTTTCCTATTTTATCAGATCTGTATTATACCTACCCAATTCACATTCCACGTCAAATACCATATTTGTACTTCGATTTCATTCTGATCTTCCGGGCAAAAAAGGAGAAAAATTCCTTGTAAAGAAGGATGTTTCGTTTCGAAGAGGAAGTGATCCGAAAACGAAATTGATTCCGCGTTTTCTTTTCCCTTGCCAAAGGAAACATCACTGAGGCTATCGCAATGGCGGATGCAGTGATTCCTGCTGCAGTGCTTCGCAACCTTGCTGACAAGCTCTACGAGAAGCGCAAGAATGCTGCTCTTGAGGTGAAACATCAGTACCCTTATCTCTCTCAATTCAATCTAGAGTATGATAAATTTGGAGTTTCGTGGTTTTGGGTATTTTTATTGAGCTTTACTTGATCAAAGGTTTATATTGGTTGTGTGGATATGTAGGTTGAGGGAATAGTGAAGCAGCTTGCTGCTGCTTCCGAGACAGATAAAATAACGGCTGTGATCAATTTGTTGACTACGGAATACACTGGTTCGGTTCAAGCAAATCACCGAAAGGTGGGATATTTTTTTTGGGCTTTAATTACATGGTCATTATATGTTCATTAATCTAATTTTATATTAAATTTATGTGATAGGATAATTGAAAAGTGATTTTAGTTTTGGTTTGATTATATTTCATGTTACGCTGGTTGAATTCTTTTCAATTTTTTCCTGAAGGGGGGATTGATAGGATTAGCCGCTGTGACTGTTGGGTTGTCAACTGAAGCATCTCGGTATCTTGAGGTGAGGAGTTGAATAAAATAACGTTTAGTATAAAATGCAAATGTTTCTGTTCTTTCATCTAAGTTTGTTATTCTGAGCTTACGGTTTGAACTCCTTCCTCATTAGAATAACTTTAAAATCTCTCAAAGTGTGTGCTAGAACCATGCCAATGGTTGCTGGGTCTGGCGGCATTACCTTTCTCTTATTAGAACAAGATGAATGAAATAATTACTACAAGGGTGTATGCGTGTGTGAAAGATAGATAGATAGATAGATCGATAGATAGATAAGAGAGAGAGAGTGAAGATATAAAGAGAGGGAATACATAGAACGTTATGCATCCCAAAGCAAAGTTCAGAAAGTAAAATAAATCTTCTTATAATAGTATGTTCTACAGCATCTGTGTTCATCTTTTTGCAATTTCTCTCATCGTTCATGTCAAATCTTTGATTATAGCTTGTAATATCTGGATATAGTCCCTAATAATGTGGGCTTGCATGGCTGCTTTGATTAAATTTAACAAGAGAAACTGCTAATGTTGCTGAATAGCAATTTATCTTGCCTTCAGCCAAGTCTTAGAACAGGAGGGACCTTGGTCAGGTTATTTAAAGTGAATTTTGTTTGGAAATTCAATCATTTCTCTAGTCCTTTTCACCTTTCTAGTTATTTTCAGTATAGCTGTACAAGGTCATAATCTTGTTTGCTTCTTCATGAATATGATCTAAATTTTGAATTACTGGTCAATTACACTGTCTCAGTAAGTGATATTGCCCTTCTGGATGGTCTAGAGCACTGCTTTATGATTTATTCTTCATGGATGTTGCTTTGGGATATAAACTTTTCCTGTTCTTACTGTATTTAGTTATCTGTCTGAGTCTTCTGGTTCATGATTTCTGAAGTTATTAATTCTTTGTAGTTCCCTATGTCCTTCTCTCTAATGGTTGATGGTTGATCACTTTCCGGATCTCAGATGTTGCTTTTCATCACACGTGATTTGATTGAATTTGTTTAGACATCTTGTTTTATATTCAAGATCTACGGAGTTTTCATGGAAAGTTTTCATATGATTTTAGTATTGGATGTATTCCTACTCGGTTTTATTTTGTACATAACATTATTTTCCCACGCTGTCAGTTGGATATTAGTGGAGTCCAAGTAAAGAGTGCGTATTTTCTTCTTAGGGCATTGAGTTACTTGATCTGCTTGTGCACTAAGTAAAACTTTTAGTGCTTTTTTTTATTAATTAAATTTGAGTGAATAGGTTCATGGGAGTTTGCTTTAAGTCTGTGAGACATAGCTGGTACTCTTGATTTAGATGGGTATTTGTTAACGTAGTGCATGCATGATGGTGCTTGGAATAACTGATGGACTGTCCTGATCTTACATCAACTCTTGCTTATATGTGTGACATGCCAGTGCTTGATGGCAGCGCCAAATTTCAGGATAAGGAAATAAGTTGATTACACTTGATGAAAGTGAAATTTTTACCAACTGATCAAGCTATGTTGGGTCTAATAGTTGTTGTAGCTACTTTTTGGATGAATTGTCACTAGCATACAATATTATTATCATTCTGTGTTACAGAGCTGAGCTTATTGGCTTGTATATTCTTTTCATATCTCTTCCTCTTACCTAAAATATGATGCTTGCTTGATGGCAGCAAATTGTCCCCCCAGTGTTAGGTGCTTTCACTGATCCTGACAGTAGAGTTCGTTATTATGCTTGTGAAGCGCTGTATAATATTGCTAAGGTGAGAATTTAATTGCTTTGAAATACTTGTTTTGGCGATCTACTAGAGTTAATGATTATCTTTTCGTGATGCCAGGTTGTAAGAGGGGATTTTATCGTATTCTTCAATCAGATCTTTGATGCCTTGTGCAAGCTTTCTGCAGACTTAGATCCAAGTGTACAAAGCGCTGCTCATCTCCTAGATAGACTTGTGAAGGTATAGGATAATCTGCCTATATACCTTTTTGCTGACTTTACATGTGCGCACTTCGACAACATTTCCTGGATTTTTTTTTTTTTTTGGGGGTTATCTAATAGTCGTATAGGAATTTCTATTTCTTTAGATAAACTGATGCTTAAAATTTATTCTATTGGAACAGGATATTGTGACTGAAAGTGATCAGTTCAGGTGAATCCCTCTCACTTTTATTCTATTTGTCTTTCTGTATTCAGTGATCTAAACTATGAAAAGAGAGTGGAAAAGAGAGTATGAAATATCAGGACCTCTGAATGTAATTAGACTGATTCATTCCCTTTCCTTTTTCTTCTTTGATCTTCAGTATTGAAGAGTTTATACCATTGTTGAGGGAGCGTATGAATGTCCTGAATCCATATGTTCGTCAATTTTTGGTTGGATGGATTACTGTATTGGACAGTGTCCCTGATATTGACATGCTGGGTTTTCTTCCTGATTTTCTTGATGGTAACTTTCAATACATCAGTTTTTAGCATCTATGCCTAACTTTTTATACGCATTTCTGTTCACCATTTATTTATTTGCATACTTCTCAGGTTTGTTTAATATGTTGAGTGATTCAAGTCATGAAATTCGTCAGCAAGCTGATTCAGCTCTTTGTGAGTTTCTTCAAGAGATTAAAAACTCCCCAGTAAGTCTTCTACTGATGTATCTTATGATTTATATAACCAGGATTCTGCTACTGTTTAGTCCCTATTGTGCTTTAATGTCATCCCTCCCCCTTAGCTGGCTAAGGAGCATTTCTTTTGGTTTGGTATCTTGTTTAGCTGTATTATGCATAATTTCCACCAAATAGTTTTTACACAAAAGCAAAATATTTTGTTCATTGGTCATTTTCTGACTCAAGCAGTGCTACTCTTGAAGTCTGTAGATTATGGTCGAATGGCTGAAATACTGGTACAGAGGGCAGGTTCTGCGGATGAATTTACTAGATTAACAGCGATCACATGGGTAAGTGGTAATACAGTGCCTCATTTTATCAATCAAATTTTACTGGATGTCTTGGCAAAATTGATTCTCATTTATGTTTTGTCATAATTCATTATTATTTTCTTTGAACCATGCCTGTTCTTTCATCTGTGAACAGATAAATGAGTTTGTTAAACTTGGTGGCGACCAGCTTTTTCCATATTATGCTGATATTCTTGGAGCCATTTTGCCTTGTGTATCTGATCAAGAAGAGAAAATTAGAGCGGTACGTCTATTTGAGCTTTCCTTGTTTTGTTTTGCTTTTTGATGGCATGGGTCATTGTGTTTTTACTTTGTTTTTTGTTTAATAGCAATACTGCATGGGGTGCCATTCAATAAATTTGATAATTTTTCTGCTTCTGCATAAGGTTGCTCGTGAAACCAATGAAGAGCTACGTGCAATCAAGGCTGATCCAGTTGAATCGTTTGATGTAGGAGCTGTTCTCTCCATTGCCAGGAGGTCTAATTTTCTAACCTGGGGAAAGAGCCTAGATTTGTATTTTGCAATGTCGACAATTAAATTTAAGTATTGCCTTGAGCATCTGAGAAGATATTTGGAAATGAAAATGATTATGAGGCCCCTTTCTATGTGTTCATATGTCCTTGAAAGATTTTTAGCTGCGTAATTTTCTTTGATATTGGGATGGTTTGACTGATCAGGCAACTATCTAGTGAATGGGAGGCTACCCGGATTGAAGCTTTGCATTGGATATCAACCCTTTTAAACAGACACCGTGCTGAGGTGACTGGATTATTGGAATCCACCTCTTTGTTATAATCGCTTGTTTATGACCCACAGCAAAAAGTCCTGATTAGGTTTACTGAAAGGTCTAATTTTATTGATTGTTACTACTTGGCTGTAACCGGTAGTTATTATCAATCTGGTAGTTGTAAATCTATACTTCTTGCTTACTTTATTGAATGAGGAGACAACTTTCCTCTGAGTTATTTCAGTCATAGGGGTTTTATTATTATGATCATTCGGCCTGGTTAAATTTATAATTGTGGGCAAATAGCTGACAGACTACCTTTGCTTTATCATTTCTATCAACAGAACTAGAAATGAATTGAGGTAGAAAGATCATGTATACTGCAAACAGATGATGTCTTGGCCAATGAGATATGCAACTTTATTTTTCTACCAATTGTTTTTTTGGCCTTCTCTTGAATAACATCTCCAAACTTACTTGTGGAAGCCCCCCCCCCCCCCAAAACACACAAAAAAAAAAAAAACGCTTATAGTGCCATTCTAACATGTTTACTTTGATTTCTGAGACAGGTTTTAACATTTCTGAATGACATATTTGACACTTTACTGAAAGCACTTTCTGATCCATCTGATGAGGTAGTCTTTGTTATCCCTATTTTTTCCCCTCTCTTTTTGGTTCATTAAGTTCTTCGTTTCTTAATATATATGTGTTGTGCTACATGATGTGGTTTTCATTTTCATATATCGCATTGTACTTCACACATACTGTTACGTCAGAAAAATGCTTTTCAAGAGAAATTTTCACTAAAAGTCTTTGGATGAGAAGTTGGAGTGGCCTAGCCAGTGCAGTTTCGTTGGCATCTTCTTTATGTATGTTGCTTGTTGTATGCATCAAATTACTTCAGTCTCACTTACATGTGTTAATGGCTTTTTTTTTTTGGGGGGGGGGGGGGCGGGGGGCGCTTGGATCTGGGAATTTAATATTATTTTTAATTTTAAGTCAGCACTTATCCATTTTTCATCAATATTTTCATCATAAAGTATGTGTTTTCGTTTTGTTAGGGAATTTTCCTGTGGTTTTACTGCCTTATAAATCTGTTGCTCCAATTATACTTTACCACCATGCTTGCACATGGCAATCAAAACTTTACGTGATTGTCTCTAATTCATTTAGTTATGTTACTAAAATAGGTTGTGCTTCTAGTTCTTGAAGTGCATGCATGCATTGCTAAAGATCCTCAGCACTTCCGTCAGCTTGTTGTTTTCCTAGTCCACAATTTCCGTGTGGATAATTCTCTTTTGGAGAAGTAAGATTTCCCCACATTGTTTTTGTCAATTTTATTTTTCTTGATATACTGTGTTGTCTAAACATGCTGTTACTAATAAATTCATTTTTATTCATTGTATACCTAGGCGTGGTGCTTTGATAATTCGTCGACTTTGTGTGCTTTTAGATGCTGAAAGAGTCTACCGTGAACTATCTACAATACTTGAAGGGGAATCTGATCTAGATTTTGCATCAGTTATGGTTCAGGTTGGTCTTGACTTATGAGAAAATAAAGTGTGATGTCCTAGTTATAAGGATGGCATATCCTATCCTAAGTCCGTGACAAAATAGTTAAGCAGAGCAGATTTGTAATGCCTTGTGCTGAATATTTTGTGCTTTGTATGTATCCGCGGGTCAAGATAACTGGTTTCGGTGTGCAGTAGTAAGCTAGCTAAATTTATTTTGTGTCGAACTTTTGTTGCCCAATTGATAACTTGAATATTCAGGTTGAATGATTCTTTTATGGTAGTTCTGTGGTATGTTAAACTGGACGTAGTTCCCATGCGCACAAAGTTTGAAAAATGGGGGAAGCTTAAAATTCTTGTTTCCCTTTATTAGATTTGTGGAAGATGTTCTTCGATTTGTTGTTCACAACTCAGACGGGTTCATGGTTCCCTTGCTTTTCTATCCATGGGCAGTGATATGTATGTAAATATATTTAACATGTGACAGGCATGGATCCTCTGGACTATGTGCGAGTCACATGTTTTCTCACTTTAATAAAAACGTTCTTGTTTCTTCAATTTAACAAGTTCTCAATTGTATAATGGCTGATTGAAAAGGACAATATCCTATCCAATTATTATCAAGCTGCTGTGGATGCTAACCATGAGAAGGGCCAATTATACAACAGGGAGTTCTATGTTAATGACTGTTGTTTATTTTATGTGGGATTTACAGATCTAGCTTACTGGATAAATATGGGTGCACACGCGCATGTTTTCTACTTAGAATAAACTTCTAGTATAATAATCTCAATCTGTATTCATCAGGACAAGTTTTTTGAAAATTTTCAGGCTTTGAACTTGATCTTACTCACATCGTCCGAATTATCTGAGCTTCGAGGTCTTTTGAAGCAATTAATGGTAAATCCTGCTGGGAAGGACTTGTATGTTTCTTTGTATGCTTCATGGTGCCATTCTCCAATGGCAATTATAAGTCTCTGCTTCTTAGCTCAGGTAGGTAGGATCTTTAACTTCGTTGTAGCTATCTTTTTATTTGAATTTCTTCTTTTCTTTCATTTGCACAATACTTTTTTCTGGCAATATACATTTGTGGTTGCTCAGCCTTAGTTTGATTATGTGAGTTAATTTTTTTTTTAATCTTTCTGGTCAGACCTACCAACATGCTAGTGCTGTGATTCAGTCTCTAGTTAAGGAGGACATTAATGTCAAATTCTTGGTCGAACTGGATAAACTAATTCGCTTGCTGGAAACCCCGATCTTTGCCTATCTAAGATTGCAGGTATTCAATAGAAGCCACATGTTTTAGTACTAACAAGTCATTGTTATTTATAGTGTATCGATAAATTCACAAGATATATTTTAATATTTGTTTTCTTATGGGCCTGAAACCGTTGTTTCATATTGCAGCTACTTGAACCTGGAAGATATATATGGTTATTTAAAGCATTGTATGGTCTTCTGATGTTGCTTCCCCAGGTATATGCAAATTTAGCCATTTCCTTATATTGCAGTATTTTTTACTGCGTATTTTAATGCATCTTTTTCTAGCATGCGGATTATAAGTGATATATTTCTTTGCATCATCCTGTATTAGCATATATAACAACATCCTGTATAGTGAATATGATTTATATCTTTTTGCTGTGTTTTAAGAATCAGTCCATTGTCTGTTCTGGTTCTGACCAGATGACTCTGTTTCCATAAACTGGCCAAGAGCCACCTGATCCAGACATTCTTTTTTCTCTCTCTCTCTCTTTTTTTTAACCAATTCTGGTGAAAATTAATAGTTCAGTTGGGTCAGCTGGTTTTCTTGTATTTGAAGTGGCTGCTTGTAAATCGTCCACATCAGAATCATCACAAGCAGCCACATCTTGCCCTTTTCACAAATATCTTATTGTCCTCCGCTAAAGTTTACTAGTTGGGAATCAAACATGCAAACCAAGGATGTGACATAGTGTTAAAGCCTATTTGTCTCGTGGGAATATAACTTATTAATTATTTATTCTGTAAGTAGAGAATAAAATGTTGATATTTATACAAAAATAGTAAATATGTACTCCTTTGGTTTTACATTTAGGACTGGAGGAGAATTTTGCATTTAACCAATTTGTATTTGTACTGATATTTTATATCACTGTTTTAAATAAATAAAATAAATATTTTCTAAAGTTTATATTTCTAAGTAATTCAAGATTATAAAACCCGGTCATAATCCATACTAATTATTATTAATATTTTCTTATTTCTCTTGGTAATGGTAGTATTTTATATTTTGATCTATAAAATAAAATCTTATTTTTTGAAATTCTGAGTCAGCCACAGTTAGACCTCCTAACTGTTTAACAGCTCTCTTCTCTTGTTAAATGACCAATTTAGTTTTCAAAATGAATTTTTTCCCCCAACTTTTTGAAGCACTTTACTTTTTAAAGTCATCTTTAAGTGACGTGTAATATGCCTAATCTATTGATGAGATAAAGAGTTCCGAAACATTTGCATCTGGATGTTGCCCTAACATGCCGGAGTTCATTTGGATATATACTGACATAGTTAATATGAGATTTATACAATAGACATGACATGCTTGAGAATGCATTGAAGAAATACTTCAGAGCCCGCTGTTGAGAAAAATTTGAATTCCTTCCTTATGTTGTTTAGTGATTGGTAGAGGACTAATGATTGTCAACACCTTGCTTTGTAGTTATCTTTATCTTTGTGCTTGAAGTGGCAAATTTTTCATAAACACGAGTTCTCCTTTTCAAAAGGGGGGGTCTATTTGGTGTTTCCAAAGTTTGTGATGCTACTTAACTGCTGCATTTACTCTGTTGTTGAGTATTATGATCTTGCTCTATTTGCAAGCTCATGTTGTGATAACACTGGAAGCGAGGTCATAGTTGTTTGGAGTTGATAGTGACTCTTTCAAATTGATTTCATCATGCAGCAAAGTGCTGCCTTTAAGATTCTAAAAACTCGTCTTAAAGCCGTGCCGCCATATTCTTTAAATGGCGAGCAATTTAGGAGAACATCCTCAGGTAATCCCTACCAAATTTTTCAACACTTGACTGGTGGATCTCAAATCACTGAGGATGGGGACATAGCTGTGGATGTTGGCAACCCAGACAATGGAATCGACTTTGCTGCAAGGCTACAACAGTTTGAGCAAATGCAGAACCAGCATCGCATGCATGCTAGAGCTCAGGCACAGTTGCGCAATACTTCCACTTCTGTGTCCAAGGTTGCTGATCTTTCCGTACTGCCTTCTACTTATTGATATGTAAGATCTATGGGTGGGGAACACGCGCGCACACGCACATATAATTTAGGAGAAAGTACAAATATCTTCCTTCAACTTCTGAAAATTGAGAAACAGTCCCTTTAATGGAGATATCGCCTAGAACTTCGCAATTTTTTATGTGGCAAACTCGTTCGTCTGGGAGAAACTTGACAAATTTAAATTAGCATCTCCATAAATGGGAAAATTTAATAGAAGAGTTTAAATAAAGAAGGATACTAATTGAGGGGGGACATGCAGCATTTTCTTCATGTATTATGCTCGAACTGCTTCAAGTCATCCTTTTGCTTTGTTTCCTTTTCTGATCCCATCACCAGAATCATATGGAGGACGCAGAGAGAGTGGAAGAAACAAGGCAACGTCTGTCATCTGATCCTCGTGTCTCTTCTCCCAGATCATCAAAAAGAGGCCCTGGGCAGCTACAACTATAGTTATAGTGTTGCACTTGCTCATCGCGAGTCACATTGTGTACGGATCTCACTGTATGTTAAATTTGAAATGAATTAGGCTATGTAGAATTGTAAATCATAGGAGTTTATTCTCCTTGTAGAGGCTGGGGTGGTGAAAATTGGGTTTGGAATCACCATGAAGCCTTGGGTTTTCCTGGGCTATTCTTTTGATCTTGTAAAGAGGGGAGGCTCACGTGGTTCCATTATGTTTTGTTGATAACCGTGTGGGCCAGAGAGGCATATATTTATTTAGAGAAGCTTCATTTCTTTCGCTGTTCAGTGCCCACTGTCAACATTCTGAATTCTGATATTTGTAAGCAACTGGATTTTACACTTGATGCGATGTGTGGGGATATTAATTTTTTGTTTGATTTGAGAATGAAAGGAAGGAGAGAAGAGGAGAGAGATTTTAATGAGTTGAAGTTTAAAAAGCCGACAGATGAGGTTATAAAATTTTAATTAAAAAAAAAAGCATAAATAATTATATTTTTATTCCTTGCGCACTGTACGGGAAATTTTTTAATATTAAGAGTATATAAATAAATAAAAATTTTGTTTTAGAATTTGTTACCTAGTTATATTCAAATATAGGCAACAATATTTTTTTCCCCTATAAATTGTTATATCCATGCATATTAAAAATTTAAAACGTGTTTTGTTTTAGAATTTGTTTCTTGAGTAAAACATACTGATATCTTCCCTATTATCTTTCTTTTAAAAAATTATATGGATCTCCCTTGAAATGAAAAAAAAAAAACGCATGTTACATAAATTTAAAAAACCATGTTACATAAATTTCCATTTTAATAGTAAAATTTTATTTGTATTGATCCCATCGTCTGTTGATTGGTAAGTTACACAACTGGCAAGTTTTTTTCCCCTCAATATCCCATTTTAACATAAATATTAAGAATAATTTGAACACTTTTATTTCTCAAGAATAATTTTAAGAGATATATACACACAAATTTTTCTTATATTATTAAATTCATTAATTTGATCATATCATGAATTAAAATTCTAAATTAATTTATAACATGATCAATTTAATAATGTAATACAAAATTTCTAAGTATAAATATTAAAATTATTTTTGGGCAACTAAAAGTGTTAACTTAGTAAGTAATATTTATGTTAAGAATGGACATTTTGATCAGAATAAAAATTTAATAGTCAATAAAGTGAAATTTTAAAATTAAAAGAGATTTGTTTAATATATTTTTTGATTTTAATAAAGGTCAGAGATGCATGCAAATGATGTAATGTAGGTTAAATGGAAGCGAGTTAAGTGTATTTTACTCAATATTTTAGAACACTAGCTCAGCGGACTTCTTTCTATTCCTTCTTGGACGGCGGCTCTGGACTCACGCTGAAATGGGGAGGACCAAGTGAGCTTAGGAACACCATGGACTGCCTTTATTATTTTCATATACATCAAATCTACACAGAAGATTTAGCTATAAATTTATACTCATAGCAAATACACCCAAATTGCCTCGTACAACCTAAAAAATTGTACTGCAAATTCAATGGCACGGTCCTGATGATCGACCCATTTCACTTTACAATCAACATCTTGGCAATTAGGATAAAAGTCCCACTGCAAAAGAGTGCCAGTGCTCTTCAGAAAATCACCCACTTTAGAGGGCATAGATTTTCTCAAGGTCAGAGTCATAATTATCCAATTCAGATATATTTGCAGAGTAGGACCAAGAGAAAGATTTGCTTCCACTTGCTCTTTTGATGCGTCTCTGGGAATCGCTGCGGAAAATGCCAAAATGTTGTTGGAAAACAAAGTAGCATAGGCAGGCCAGAGTTCCAACGATAGTGGGCACACCCAAAACGGTTATGGTAATAGCCATCCATGTTTGCTTTCTTCCAACAACAACAAATGCCAAAGCTAGAAAAGCCCCACAAGTGCAAGCACCGGCAGCCCACATTAGCTTGTTAACCACTGACACAACCTGCTTTTGAGCATTTGTGTCCCAGGCCACCAAAGTGATTTGAACAACCACCACTGCTAAAGAGATGAAAAGAGATGTAGAGTTTAAAAGACAGAAAGCTTGGAAAGCAACATTATCAGCTATATTAGCCTTCCCAGTCTCAGGTCCTTCCATGATATATTGGCCAGGCAAATTGAATATAGCCAAGAATGCTACTGAGGCAAAAAGGACAGCAACAAGTGTGACAGAGTTAATTGTATTTTGAACCGCTTCTCTGTGAAGCTTTTTCAATTCTTTAGCAATACCAGAAACTCGCCTGCGAGTTTTTAAGTTTGCCTCAAGTTGTGACTGCACTTCGTGCCTTATATCACTCACAGTTCTTTTCAGTTCCATAGCTTCATCAACTTTGCCAACATGCCTGGCGTACTTGGCACCATAGTCTGCAAGGGCCTCCTTGATTTCCAAAGCTGAATCCCCATACTGCAATTTATCTGCCAAATCCAACGCTGTTTCGTGCTGGTTATTGATGGCATTGACATCCATAACTGTGCAACTTAGCAGAAGACTCACAATCTGAACAAAAAGAATTGTGTCAGTGGAAGAAATAAGGGAAGAAAAAGAAAATCTTTGCAAGAAACAATCGCTTTATTTTGCTAGAAATGCAAGAAACATTTGTTATATGGCACAAGGATATGCATTCTGTTCATAAACTGTTATGTCAATAAACCTTTCCAAGTATATGGCAAATAATCACACTATATTTCCATCTAAACCCCATGTTATATCTTCATAATCCATTCAACAGAATCCGAGCTAGACAGTACAGTGTTTTAGATTGCTACAAGTATAGAAGAAGGTGACAAATTTTAAAACCATTAGGTTAACCAATTAACCCAGTTATGTTTAATTAGGGAAACCTCTACTTGAATGTCCTAAGAATGGACTTTCTTGTCAATTAATAATCATACCATACTTAAGCAAGGATCAGTAAAGCGATAAAACTATCAGATTGGATGAACTGAGTCCAACAGAATGGGCATGTGTTATAATGTGCAAATAAAGAAAGAACTGGCCAGTGATCTTGTATATGGAGAGCGGGACCAAAATGTTCCATTGCAGACATTGTTATAGGAGCTGAAAGATTGGATGGCTAAATTTATAATGAAACTGAACATAGCATGGCATAGGACTACAGCTATATGAATGTGAAACTCACCTGTGAGCGACCCTTTCTTGTAGCCATGTGTAAAGCAGTATTTCCCTTCTTATCTCGTTCATTCAATATAGTGGAATCAGCTTGTAATATCTCCTTTACCACTGCAAGACTCTGTCCTTTTACAGCCATATGCAGAGCAGTTTGACCCTTTTTATCTTTGACACAGACTATTCCTCGATCTTGGTCAATAAGTGCTTGCACAATACGAAAAACCCCATACCTAGCAGCATTGTGCAATGCGGTTTTTCCATTTTTCCTAACTATCCACATCGAATCGACATCAGCATCCAAGATAGCATTCACCACATCCAAATGGTCTTGAACAGCAGCTGAATATAGGGGACTAGTATTTGAGGAGTCACACAACTTACAAACCTCGGGCACCTTGTTCAAAAACTCTTTCACGATATCTGGGAAAACAAATGATTGACAATGTTAAAATGTCATTTGTGAGATCTTTATCATCACAAAAAATCCAATAAAAATAATAATTCCACGACAAAGAGCATCAAGGTACAGCCCGTGGAACAGCAACTCCGTCTTCCAAGTAACAATATTGCATCCACTGTGAATTTCATTTATGGGACCTATCATGGGCGTTCCCGAGGTACTTAAATCAAAACTGCAGCCAGGAGTACCATATATACTTGGGGTTCAACTTCATCATCATTATCCTATGCTGTTCAGAAACTTAAGTGTGGTATTTTTGCCATTTCAATGCAGCGTGAAATGAGTAATAAATCAATTTATAGAGTGGCTTTTTATTATTATTTTGTCAAAATACGAATCGCTTATTTTTCTAGTATTACATATTAAAAAAAAAATATTCCCACAGCCGTTGAGAAAGAACTAGGAAATTGAACTTGAAGACAAAGTTGTCGGTGTTTCTTGATCAAAAGCCACTTGTTGCCCGAGTCGCTGCTTGCCGTTTGCCATTAGACTCAATTTAGAAGCACTTGAAAGCTTTATTTTGTTCGAACTTCGTAGAGTATTTTCCCCCTCAATGGATGGTGTAGCAGTAGAGGGATGAAATTAGGCGAAAAATACAACTTTCAACCCTAAGTTTGAAGCGCTAAAATGACCCCAAAAAAAAACTGAGGAAGCCAATTAATACCAGAAGGCTTTTCTCAACTCCGAATAACAGGCAGACCCCCAACTGATGCGATCAATTTCATCACCAAGTTTTTTTTTTTTTTTTTTGGTTCAGTGCATAATCCGATTTTAAATTATGATTGAGCAATATCTCATTTCAGGCAAAAATGATTTATTATTCAAAATATGAATCGCTTAATTTCCGAGTATAATATAATGAAGTAAGAGAGAGATGGAGAAAAGAGAGGAATACCTAGATGACCACGCTTGGCGGCAACATGGAAGGCATTCATGTCGGATTTGGACCTGATCTTCACAATCTCCAAGTCACAGTACTTGAGCAAGAAGCTGAAAATTTCAGTCAGATTATGGTCGGCGGCGATGTACAGCGCCGTCTCCCCGGCATCGTTCTGAAGGGACATCACATTAGAAAACGACGAAGCATCTTCTCTATTAAGCTGCTCCAGGAGTTGCTTCAGCTCATCCAAGTCCCCAGATCGAACGACTGAGAAAATGGACTGGTACCTAATGAATCGCAGAGCCTTGGGATCCATCATCGTGCGAACACACGCATACACAAACTCTCTCTCTCACACACACACGTACAAACTGCTTCTTCAATTCTGGATTACTCTCACTCACGCCCTAATTCATCACTTTTCTCCCTCAGAAACTTTCGTCGTTTCTTCTTCGAACGGGAAGCTAACTGAAGCAAATGAAAGAAGTGGAGGAGTGATAATGATAGATTTGGACGCGGAGCTTTGACGAGGGGGCGAAGGCGGTAATGGAGGTGGGGTTCTTCATCTTCCATTTAACTGAATTCGATTACTTGGAGAATTTATTTAATTTGGATGATGTGATTGATTGATTGATGGTGGTGGTGGGGTCTCGACACAGGGAAAATCCATGTGGTGCTGAGCCAATTGACTTTTCATGGATTCCTCAACGCAACGCGAATCTACAGTGCCATTGCTTGTCCATTAGTGTAGCTGGCCGCAAATACATGCAGGCCAGGTTGCAGAATGCTGCTTAGAGCTTAAAAACCAAAAGATTAGATTTTTATATTAAAAGTATAAACTTTCTCTGCCAACATTGCCCAGGCTATCACCCCATTTTCATTTTGCATTGCATATGTCATGTGCCGTCTTTGCGAAACCATGGGCCAGGAAACTATCTCCAGGTCCCAAAAAAAATAAAAAAAAGAACAGGAGGAAACCATCCAGAGGACCAAATCGATACTTAACGGTTAAGTGAGCATAGTGATTTTTAAGGTGTTTTTTTTTTTTTGCCAACCAATTTTTAAGTTAAATACTACGTTGAACTACAAACTAAATGTTAAGGACAGGCGCAATACAATTCAGCACTGGTTATTCTTCTCAATGCTGTGAGGTCACTCTAAACGAAGAGGGATCGGATATTGCATATAGTAGTCATTGAAGTCACAAGTTGTTAAAACAGGCTTGAGTAGCCTTGCGGAGATCTCTTACTTGCGTTCTCTATCAGCAAAGCTATCACGTTCGTTTATTAAAAGTATTTTATGCTATCAATATGAATTAGATTTAGCAGAAGGTAGGTCAGTTTTTATAATGTGATGAACCAATGTTTAAGTTTTCATAATAGTATCTCAATAATGTCATATACACTTGTTTTTTTCCTGTTAGTGTACAAATGAGGTGATAATCTGTAGTATAATATGTCGCATAAAAAATCTCGCTCTTATAATTCCCAGATGTTGTGTGTATAAAATATAGAGAGAAAATTCACGTTCCTCTATCATGCACTAAATTAGTAAATTGCCAGCAACTTGAAAAGCTTCCGCCTACCAAACTTTTATTTTGTCTCGCACTTTTCAGGTTACGACCCTTTTTCTTGGAATGGGAGTGAGTGACAGCATGCAAGGCCAATGACGAATTTGCCAAATAATACATCCGATCTTACTTATAAGACTTCATTTATAGATTATAAATAAGATCTTATAATTAAGACCGGAAGTAGTATGTTAAAAGCTTTAGAGTTCTTTAATCCAGCTAGGGAACTGAGAGCTTTATATAACTTGCGCATAGTAACATCAACAAATAAGCAAAGCAGTATCATTCCCTGGAGACTGGTTGAGCTTCTAATTCTAATAATGGTGACTTTACTTTTGTTAAATTATTAACATTTGGAAATTTTGGTATTGGCAGAATACTTAGTTCTAATCTGGTATTGGCAGAATACTTGGTTCTGATCTAACCACTGAATTAATGAGCAAAATATATCTTAAAAACAAAGTATAACGGTGTTCGAGACCCTCTTTGTCTCTTATAAGATATCACATGACCTAAATATCAGAGTATTTTTGTCATTTCAATAAAATATAAATAATAAAAGAAAAGAGTTATTTCCAATAAAAGCCTGAAAGCAGACAGGGCAATGAGCATAAATAAGCCAGAAATAAGCTCTAAGAGGCCAAAGCCTCGTTGATACACAAGCTCTCGTGCGTCTTATCAACTCACCTATCTATATCAAATTATGGATCAACACAACATTTTGATGTATCCTTTGATCCATTAACTTATCCTTGAAGCAAATTACAATAAACGTTTGAAGGCATTTGATTTTATGTTAACCTCGAAGCGAGTACTTCTTCCCTGTAAAAGGCTGAAACTTCGGTTCTTCTTTCTGTTGGGATGGCTCTTGTTTTGTCTCTTTTCCCTGAAAACCATAGGTGAAGTAGAATCTACTTTGTTAATTACCATCTAGAGAAAGAATTTGGCCGGCATAATGGCAACTTAAATTGGCATACAAAGTAGAAAATATTAGCAAAAAGCAGCTAAATTACCTTTGCGGTTTCTTTAGACCGGTTTGCATTTGAACCAAACACAAGCTTTCCTTGGGATTCGCGAGAGTTGCTTTGTGAAGTAGATGCTGCAGAAGACTGCGCATCGCTATTTATAACTCTGGGTCTCTTGTCCTTAGACCCCGAAGAAGAAAGTGGCGGTGGCTGATAATTCAAGGGTTTTCCATCCAAACGTCGCCCAGCCCCAGAAAACGGGTTGAATTTGGGTTCAGTTTCAGGAGGGGCCTCTTCATCTGTCAAGATGAATAAAAAGTTTGTCACATGACGGCAACAGAAAAGGGGGGGAAAAAAAGAGAAAAAAAGGAAAGGTTAAAACAAAATTAGGAGAGGCAATCATGCACCTTTCTTTAGTGCCTTGCTACCAGAAAGTGGGGCAATGGGCTTTTCAGGTTCTTTGTAATCCAAGGGAGGTGCAAAGTCCACCTCACAATCCGTCTCAATGATGCTTATTGCATTGGAAGGCTTGGTTTCTACAATATCTATGTAATATTTTTTGTTGTTGTATGCCACCATGATACTATCTCCAGTCGTCAAACAGGAGTAATTTCTCAATGTTGTTTCTAATCTGCATGTCAAATCAAAATACACTCAAATATCTAAAAGAAGATCTACCACTTGTAATGTGTATGCAGTAAAGACAAAAGTGTGAAGAATCTTCGTGTATAAGATGCAAGTAACAGAATCCCGTTAAACTACTGCCGACATCTCTGAACCTCTTGGGAACAGAAAGTCTGTATAATTCAGAAATACATCTAATATCAATGCATAGTGAAATCTCAGTTTATACCATATTCTTCTAATCGAATGAATAGTTCTCTAAAACATTCAAGATTACCTGTCACTTTTTTCTTGGACGGAAAAGAATTTAATTCAAAGGAAAAACGAAAAAAGAAAAGAAAAGAAAAATCAGAGAAACCATGGAGGGTAAGAAATCCTGCAACCCAGGATATTTAAAAAATAAATAAATAAATAAAACAAAAGCAAACCCACCATGAAGGAGAAGCATACTGGAATCTAGTTGTTAAATATACATATCAATTTTGTAAATTCATAAATTTGCTTTTGAATCTGCAACTGTTTATGGACAAGGCCATATAAACCCATGGGCAAACTTGGCTGATGAACAGCTAAGTTGCAACCCGCTTATAGATATATGCATTTAGGAAAGCTAAAATAAATACTAAACGCAAGCCCGCAACTCCTGGTAATAGCAACAAAAGGGTGTCTGCCCAATGCTTGGCTTGGTTCGAGTTACATCAAACACCAACATGAGTAGAAAGGTTGCCCTTATTTTATTCTACACCAATCTAAAGACAATTGGAATAAGCCCACCAAACTAAACCTATCTGAAGATTGCTTTAGTTTCATGAGGTTAGCCGGGTCATGGCAAGAAATTTCACAAAGGTAAACTGAAACTTAGAAGCATTATATCCATTATGGTTGTCAATTTTTAACGGCTGAACAACACTAACCAAGAAAAATAGTTAAATACGAGAACGTTTCACGATAGTGACATGTAAACTGAACCCAGCACTTAAAGCCAGGTTTTACTATAATTAGGTTTATTTGGGTTTTAAACAACCCCAATACCAGTAGCAATAACTGAAACATCAAACACTGGGTACGACTGTCAAAGATGATATGAAGCAACACATCACATTATCTTCATTTGGAAGACGAAACAATGTTGACTTAAGGAATTTCATCCTTGCAAGAAAAACTTATCGGTTTGGACATAGCATGGTGATATCTAACTTGAATACAATAATCTTTCAGTCAACTTACATGGCTTTAGGATTGGAGATATCCAAGAAATCCGTTGTGTGTGGTTGCAATTTAACGTATTTCCCCTTTGGAAGCGTAGCATTTTTCAATTTCACTATGTCCCCCTCTTGTAAAAGCATGTTTTCCATCATCTGTACAAGAACACACAAAGAAGCAGCATGAATTAAAAAAAGAACCTCAGGGCGAAGCACACCAACCATACTTCCCAAATTATAAGTTTTAAGTGCCTACCCAATATGGCATATACACCATGCCTTCCTCTGCAATGAACTCCAGAACCCCACAATGAGACACCCGCTCGGCAGCTTCATTCCGAAGTTCAAACAACATCGGATAATCAATATGCAGAGATGCTGAAAATTACACTTGCTATTATTAGCCTTGAAAGTTTGCTAGCTAGGCACCCAACGTATCAGAAGAATATACAACAAAATATAAGGTAGGAATTTCAACTAACCTAGACGGTCGAGGGCTGAAGGAGGCATTATAACTGAAGCAAAACAAGAATTATAATCAACATTAGATAAGGATAAGGATAATCTGATAATACAAAAAACCAGAAACTTACTTTTATCGCCACTTTCTATTTGAGGCTGCAAAATAAACAAGAAAAAAAGAATATCAATAATTTTCTTTTTTGACAAAAAAGATGAATTGAAGATCAAGGCTGTTGTTATTCAACTTTGTCAATTTCTCAACCTTCTAATTTTCTGACTCACTTTTAAGTTCTTGTTTTTGAAATGATGTTCCGGTATTTAAGCACAGATGTAGGGGACATACTAATATGAAATTCTACATGAAGATGTGATTTAAGTTTGCATAAAAGAAGTTTCCTGCTAAGTTTTTTTTTTTTTTTTTTGGCCAAAATTCCAGCTATGTTTATTGTTACTTTTCTCCACGGAAAAGTTAAATAAACCAGAGAGTCGACAGAAAGCCAAGCACAACAGGTTGAATAGGCTAGATTATTTATTCAGTGTAGAACACAATATATATAGCATGCAAAATTAGACACAGGTAGATATTTGGCGACTCCAAACCGGATTCACACCGAATACATCTCAGTTCAGAAGAATAGCAACAGACTACGTACATCAATGACAGAAATAGAAGAAGTCTGACCTTATCAATAAAAGAAGCAGGGTAACATCGATAAATCTGCTCAAAAGATGTACCGTGGTATCCATATCCATCAAAAAACTGAGCACAAGAGTGCAAGATCGTAAATATTGATAATGCAAGAAACAATACGAGAATTGATGGATCTAATTAAATGATCAGTTGAACTGAAAAAAATAAGCTCATCCACTTTTCCTTGAAAGTACTACAATTCTTACCATTTTAAATTTTGTAAGATTTTCACAACAGATGATCAACCCTCGAAGCTCCCACTAAAACGAAACGATTCTGAGCTTCAATAACAGAAACAGCCCTCAAAAGCTGACAAGCCAATTGCACAGAATAAGCAAATTAACATAAAACGAGCCAAGAGGACCTTCAACCAACAACCGATCATTAAATAAGTAACCAGTAGTAACAATCCGATTCTAAAATTTAACAAGGGTTCTAGTTCAAATTTCTGCGCCTGCAAGATTTACATCAAAGTTGGAATTTAAATAAGCATGAAAGGAATCCCGACACTCAATTTCACCAAGAGAAATTATAGCAAAAATGCAAGTACATTTTGCTAGTAGTTTGGGTCCATGTAAAGAGAGGCACCATAACCAAAAAAAAAAAAGGGCAACTTCCATCTCTATGTATAAAGACAATTCCCGCCACTAAAAGCTAGCAGAAGCAACGCCCATAAACAATTAAAAAAAAATATTAAAGATTAACCATTCGCCTCTGATTTCTAGAGAATGACCCAGTAAGAAAAGCATCGAACTTCAGCCCATAAAAACAATTGTTACGATGAAAAAAATCGAATGCAGAAACAAAGAGCAACAAAGAAAGTTTACCTGAATTGAGAACTCTGATCGAAAATTTGAAGTGAAAATTTTTCCCTTTTAATCAAGGAAAACGCACAGTTTTGCTTCTGATTTCGAAGCTGGAAACGGGAACAGTCAAGGTCTGGATTGCAGATGCAATTCGGTGCGTAATATGAAATTATAGACCGTGCTTGGTAGGTTATAGAAGATAAATCTAAATTAACCGCGATTATTCGGTTGCTCTGCTCACAATATGATATGACGATTTGTGATGCCTGTCAACCCGTACGTATATGTAGATTTTTTTTTCCGGCCAAAGTTTATATGGATGAAGATAATGAGATATAATTATTCTATCTTTTAAATTATCTTAGAAGAATTAAAAATATGGATAGAGATACAAATACAAGATATTAAGATAGTAAGATCCTGTTTTTGGGGTCAAAATTAAGATAATAAGATATGAGCCTAAAAATTTGGAGGTTTATAATACGAATGATTATAAATTTTATTGCATATATATATATATCACGCTAAATAATAGTATTATTTAATTATTTAATGATTTAATGCTAAAATGTATAATACCTTAAAGAAATAAATTTCTTATCTCACTCGGATACAAAAGAAAGAGATGGATTTGAAAAACGCAATGTGAGAATCAATTAAAGCAATCTATTAAAATTTAAGTTAATATATTATAATACTATAAAATTAGTTGTATTTAAAATCTTAATAAACTCCAAGTCCTATAACCTATATTCCCCTATCATTCCAGCTTCTTTATTTTTTTAACCTGCGCTGGGCTTATATGATCCTCGAATTCTTAATTTTTATTCTTCCTTTTAAATTTTAATTATTACTAATTAGATAGTATTTCTTTGTTATATATTCAATTCTAGAAGATGTGAATTTGCATAATAGAGTTGGGGATATTGATTTGATGGGATTACTAATTTACTACTACTTCCAGTGTTTAATATAAAATATTGTTTGATTTTTATTTTAGTCCTAAATATAAGATTTCAATTCATTTTGTCTTCATATCTATGTTTTTTTCCAAGATAGTCCTTCTAACAATGGTAGTTATAGCCAATACACTTAATCAGTAAAGATATTTTAAAAAAATAACACATATTTATTACAAATAACTAATTTAACTTTTTTTAATCTCCTCAAATTAATTAACTAGCTTTTATAATTAGGACTGGAGGTAGTATGTTAAAAAAAAAAAGAGATTACACCCAAAAAAAGAAATAAAGAAAAAAAAGAGAACTCAATGTGAATAGAAAGTTGCCTTAGTGACTTGGTCCTGATATTAAGTTTAACATTAATAAGTTTATATCTGTATAAAAAAAACAGAAAATTCAAATATTGTGAATGTTTAATTAAGACATTCAAATGACACAGGAAACTTGATTTTAATTATACACACACATATATATATTATTATTATTTTCTAAAATCTTGTCCTGAGCTAATCAAGCTGACTCGTTTACCTCACGTAATGATGTTATTTTCAATTTTCAACCCATTAAATTAAGGTGGTTTAAATGAGATAATCCGTTTAACTCTCTTGACACATTTTAACGGCTCTCACATGCATGGCTTTGCCTATTGTCATGTATCAAAAATAACAAATAGCGGACAATTTTAATTGTGTGTGTATAATTCTATGTATATATATGTTTTTATTTCCATGCTTTTACACAGTTTGACATAATTTAACATTGTTCATAACATTTTTTTTAACCAAAATAATGCAATCTCTTATAAATTATACTACTTCTAATTCTTAATATACGACCTTGTTTAATTTTTATTTTAGTCTTAAATATAAGACCTCAATCTACTTTGTTTCTCATATTTATATATATATTTTTTCAAGGTAATCCTTCTGTTTTAATAATAGTAGTTTTAACCAATATACTTTATTAGTAAAGATATTTTAGAAAAGATAATATTTATTTATTACAAATAACTAACTTAACTTATTTTCTTAATCTCTTCAAATTAGTTAACTACTTCTCCAGTAAGACCCTCATACTAATAGTATAAGAGTCTTATATTAAAGACCGGAGGAGTAGCTTTTATATTTAGGAGCATAGGTAGTATATTGGCATGTATTGATTTTAAACTAAGCAGTTTTGGATCCATTATCTTTCATACACATTAAGTTATTGACTCTTCTAAATTCTTCAATTAATTGGTTTCTTTCTCTCTCATCGTGCTATTGAGGTAGGATTAATTTACTATGCTAAAAACTTATAATTTGTTGTATGTTTATTTTTTTAAAATGTAAAAGTTACCATTGATTTTTTTTTTAAAAAAAAGCATGTATAAAAATATTAATATAGCAGGACAAAAAAAAAAGAAATACAATATAGAAAAGAAGAGTTAATAACAAAGTTGCTGCAATGACAAGGCTGGCTGTTATGTTTGGATAATATCCCAGATTTCTACTCTAAATCTTATATTAACATGTTTAATTTGTTTGTGTGGATTTAAATTGGCTCTAATAAAAAAGATATAGTTAAAAGAACATAAAACGGAGTGAGGAGCCCAGAAATAAATTCAACATCTGTTTTTTTTCATTTTTTATTCATAACCTTTTTGTTTTTTTGTTACCGACAGTTTCATGTGTTTTTTGGGCTTTCACGACAAATATGCAATTTCCTCAGCTATTTGGAATGACAGTAAGACGGTGACAGCTTTTTAATCATAATTTACAGGATATAAAATAAACATATGAGGAGATCTTTGTTTCAAATTACGTAAATAAGTGTTTTTGAGGTGTGCATAAGTGATCCCAAACAAGCAAGCAATTGATCAAATAAATTTCTTAGAACCCAAGAAAGGTAGGAGCTGCGGGGAATTAATTCAAATGCTACGAATATTTGCAAATTGCAATTTGCACTCATTTGCACTCCTCATCGTGTTAGTATGTTGTCAAAAATGTTACTCCTCTGGTCTTTAATATAAAACCTATTTAACTAATTTGATTAGATTAAGAAAGTTAGGTAAGTTAGTTAATTATAAAAAATGTGACACGTTTTTCCTAAAATACCATAATCATCTTTCTTAATACCCCATCTTCCTCTTCTACTTGATTATGATTGAGGGAGTATCCATAGGGGTAATTTAGAAAAAATTAACAAATATGAGAAATAATTCTTATATTTAGAACCAAAACCAACTCAATAATTGGGTCCTATATTAAGGACTGGAGGAGTATAACCTTTGGTTTTTGCTTTTCCCTCTGTTTCTCCATGACCGGAGTTAGGTTTCTTTGTGAGCCACAGCCAGGCAATATGTTCTTATCCTCCAAGGGAATTTAGTAAAATTAACTTTTTTTCTTAAACCTGCATATAGATCATAGGAGTCAGTTTCTTCAGAAGGGAAAATCCATGGCTCAAACATATTAGGAATGTCAGGGGTACATTTGCAGATGTTGTCTCTGACTATTTGCTTGGGCAAACCTCATTTGCTCTCCATCTCAGTTTCTTGTCTCTGAAATCTGTTCAAGGTTCTCGGCTTCTTTTGATAATACATCTACCTAACTTTAGTGGATGGTTTGATGCAGTCTTCCTCATCATCTCCTGCAAACAGACCCCTTATATTACAGAATAAGGGAGCTGCAGAAGAATTTCAATGATCTACGTAGATGTCTAAACATAGTGGATTCACTTCCTATTTGAGTATGATAGATCCTATATGGATTATTCCTGTTGGTTTCAGGAGGATGTGGTGAAGCCTCTATTTTAACTTACTAAAACAGCTTTGTTTCATGACTCTACCATTCTATGTTAGAATTTACTACAATCTAAAGATATGTCTTAGTGCACTCTGATTAGAGGTACCATATTCCTATTAAAGACGAAAACGTGTGGTTTCATCTCGTTGAAGAACATCAAGTGACTGACTGAGTTACAGATATGTATTGTAAGCCGAATTTGTCTGTCCTATAAGTCTGGAATTATTGTGTCATTCTCGTGAATTTTAGTAGCTGTAATAGCAACTAGCAGGATGCCTTTGATCTGTCCACTTGATTTTACAGCCTTCCTTTCTTCTGATTTACCTGATTTCATTAAATTTCCCATCTCCTGTGGCTACAGCCTGGAAGAATGCGATCGTTACTTGGAAAGAATTAAAGTTTATGAAAACAAGCCTGCAGACATTATCCAAGGCCAAATGGATACAGACTATCTCTCAAGGGTATATTTTTATGGTTTTTGGCCTATAAATTTATTTATGAAATAATAATAGCTGATGATCATTACAATCGGTTAGAAACCTATACTCAGAACGATGCAGAACCTTCTTCCTTAAATGAAGACAAGCATGAGGTTGTAGGTATGGTTGGCAAACGAAGGAACAAAGAAACTGAATTAACTGTCAAGTCGGCCTTATTTGCAGCATTCGCCAAATATGCTGACAGGGTTGGAAAGAAAAAGCCTTACATCAGAAGAGGAAGAGAGAGGGGAATCAAGTCTTATAATGGAACCAAAAGATGATAAGAGAAAATGCTTGTCATTTTTTCAGTTGATTAATATTTAATATAGCCCACCAGGATCTCGTAGCCCAACAGACATCAAGCACATTTCTTAAAGCTGTTTTCAATGTGAGGTTGCGAGTCCGCAGATCTAACAGTTGTGTAAGTTACGGCAAAAAATTTAACTGAGATCATGGGCTATGTAGATTCAGATGATCGATTTACAATCATTGTGGGTCTAAAGCCAGTCTAGAACTTCTCTTGGGTCTGGGAGCAGTCTGGTCTCCACTTTAGTCTATGACAAATGTGGAACCTCTTGCCGCCTGAATATCAGATTGGGCCTTGCACAACTTCAGACTAGTGCAATCCTTGCATTGCACTGTTAGTATTTAAAGTTTTCATGGGAAAAATAAGCCTTTTGATTGAATGATTAAATACAAGTGGAAAGTAAGACCAACAACAAAATAATTGATATGAGCTGATGGCATTCTGGTTTGCAAATGATAAATCCCAACAAGTTGGCATTATTCCCATATGGGCCACACATCTTTTTTTTTTCCATTTTGTGGGTCCCATGGCATGTACATCGACTGTAAAATCTCTTTGCCAACATAGATTGCAGATGATTTTGAATTAGTCTATCCATGGTGCATTTTGTCCCATCCCCGTGCTCTGTGGGTCTGACCCGACCCGAGTTTATTCATCGGACATAACCCATCAAGCT